GACGTTTTCATCTGACGTACGAGGTAAAACGGGTTAGGCACGAAATTTTTCTTAGTTTTTTAGGTACCTCATGATATATCAAAAGTCGCTCGATAATTATTTCCATTAACCGAAAACTTTCAAATTTACCAGGGTTCCCCTTAAAAAATTCCCGAGCGCTGGCGCGAGCAATTTTTCCTATGAAATTTGACGCATTCGTTTATATGCAGGGAAGTTTAATGGAAATATTCCGATTCATCTTGAAGCTCAAGGAGTATTCGGCGAATTGTTTTACCTAACCATTTCGATAAATAGAATTGCGGTATTCGATGTCCGATACCGCAATTCTATTGGTCGATAGGGTAATGGAGGAAATAATTTATTACACCTCCCTGGGTTAAAAATATAGTATTCTTAAGGATATCCATGTACTTCGTTCAAGTTATCGACTTTTTTTTCAATATACGGCTAAATTTCATTTTTTCGGAAATCGTTTTCTCGAAAAAATGTTCGGAAACTAAAGTTGATATTGCGTCTAAAAAAAAGTCTTGTTCTATTCATAAGCTCTAAATGGCATTTACCCCAGAAAAAATTGCCTGAACTAGTTGGATATCCTTAAATTGCCTCATGGTTATTTCACCCTATCGGCGTTCAAATTATGACCGGGAGAGCGAGAAGATGAATGGTGCTGCTCTCTATTCTAAGAATCCCCAACATCTTTAGAGATGCAAAGTGACCGTCATTTTTTAGATCGCGTCATATGACCAAAAAATGACGGTCATGTGACGCACAATTTTCCAACTAGAAATGATTGTCACAAAACATTTGTAACCAAATTGTTGTCAAACCATCTATATAGTTGCATAACAAAATAGTTTCATCTATATGGATGGAAAAAAAACGTGATTTCCATTTCAAAATGCGGATTAGGTCAATACAAAAGGAATTCAACTGAAAATTAATCGAGAAAAAAATAAAGTTTCATCTATATAGATGAAAAATGACTGTCATTTATTCTTGTCAAGTTGTGACGGTCGCCGAAGGGGGAGGGGGAATTGTGACAGCCATCATGAACGCCTCGTCATGTGACCGTCATATGACGGGTCATGTGACGCATTTGTATCCTCTAAACATCTTCCCAAAAAGAAAATGGCTGGCCTTATTCAGGAGATAGGTATACCTAAACCAATAGATCTGAAAAAATCCGACGAATTACTCATTATTCATCCCGTTATCAACTCCATTGTCGGTTGAATCATAAACAAATCGGTTGAAAATCTAACAAAAGAAAGAGTGAAATGAAAAATTATCGAAATGGAGAGTGCACTGAATTGTAGAACTACAATGGCAACTACTTGAGGTTGGAGTCCGCGGCATCCGTGAGCCAATGATCATCCATTTTCACCGAGGAAACAATTCATACTCGAGTACGTGAAATTTACATAGTAATACTTCATATATAAGATGGAGTGCTCGAAAAATTCGTGTTTTGGGGGATCAAGAGCTTGGTCATGTCCAAGCTAGGTAAGCACATGATCAGTCAAAGGGAATACGTCCAATGCGAATACGTCCATTTTAACTTCTAATCATTGTAAGGGGTGTTCGAAAGTGAGTAACATTGTTGCGGAGTGTTCAGTTGATTAAAAATATAATGGAAGAAGAGGGATGTACGTCGATGCTGTAGTGTTTGGAAGCCGATGCAGTTGGAAATTCTTGCGAGGTAATTTGAGGAGATTGCTAAGAGGAGTCGAAAATTCGAGGAATTTTCCAATTTCGTTGAGTTAATTTAGAAAATTCGGTCAGTTGCTGTCGTTAGGTTCTAATTACTTATATTAATTCTTTCAGGAATTTATCGAAAGTTTATACAGATAGCTGAGATGATTTTTGGGGCAGCGAATCCATACCATATCACGTCCAATTTTGTAGACTGGAAGATAAAAGATGGAATTACATTTTTAGATGGTGTAAAGAAGACTGATTAAGTTTCTGCTGTCATGAGGTTTTCATGGACATCAGGGATACTTCATGAAATTTTAATTCAGGGATGCGTCGGTGAAAGTTAAGTCTTCACTGAGCCTTGGGACCCATTGAACAGTTAACACACACAAACATTCATCTCATCAGTTTGTGATATATGACGGAATGTGGGAATAACTAGGGAAAATCGCGGACCCGATCGATTTTGTTCCGTACCATCCCGAAAAACTTCATTTTTTTCTGTTTTTACCTTCAAAATACTACTCTCACCGTAATTTTCATACGGTGTTGACTTTTTCTTTAAATATTCGTTACACTCAAAGAATAAAATTAAGCATCCGCTTACTTTATTCGCAATAGATCATGAATAAATGAATTTTGAATTTCATAAATTTTTCGCGTCTTTAGAGTAGGACTAAAAATTCATTGTTTATTCATTGTTTTTAGTAATTGAACATTGTAATCATGCGTAATCTAATTTTTATGAACAAAAAAAAGTGGCAGGTAGAAGCGAAAAGGCGGTTCAAAAGAAAATTTATGGAATTCAAAATTCATTTATTCATGATCTATTGCGAATAAAGTAAAACGGATGATTAACTTTATTGTCTGGAGTGCAACGAACATTGATAAAAGCTAAAATCTTATGAAAACTACGGCGAAGGAGAATTTTGAAGGTAAAAATAGGAAAAAAAAGTTTTTCGGGGTTGTACGGACCCAAATCCATCTAGTTCGCGATTTTCCGCGATTTTCTAGTTATTCTCATATTCCGGCATATATAACAATCTGTTCAATGGGTCCCAATACCCGGTGAAGACTTAAATTTCACCGACGTATCCACTTAAGGGAATACCCTACTGAGTTTTAAAAGTTCTACAATGAAAAAGTGGCCTTCGTGAGGCATTTCTCACATGTGAAGTCCCTTCACAGATTATTAATCCATATAGGACCATCAAATATCGCGGAAATTTGCAAAAATTACGAAAACTGACTGGATCGACTTGAAATTTTTACGTCATATTCAAAATACTAGAACAAACAAAGCTACGGATGGGACTTTCCGTCGATTGATTTTCAGATTGCTCATCACACGGTAGAACTGCTCCCAGAAACAAATTCGTTAATTCAATTTTTTTTGTATTTTATGTTATTTACGATTTCCGGATGAATTATAATCTAAAAATCATCTGTTCTAAATTTCCACCATTAGCTTTGTATATTCTAGTATTCTGACCATTGTGTAAAAATTTCAAGTCGATCCGACAATTCGTAATTACATTTTGACAAATCGGTTTTTAGATTGTTGAGAATTTCCACCATGTTTGATGATTCTATATGAGTTAATATACTATTTCAAGTGACTACACATGCGGAAAAGCCTCACAAAGGTCTTAACTTTTAAACCGCAATAGTTCATCCTCTTCATAGAAAAAACTAGCGCATTCCCCAGAAAATTCTATTGGACTTTTATTGAAAACTCTATTAGTTTGCCGCTAATTCTGATTACAAACGAAAAAGTTTTTCTCAATATAAATACTAAATGAAAAATTTTTTTTAGAAGAAAATCAATGAAGTTTAATTATTAATTTATTCCATTGAGATATTTCCTCTAGAAATTCTTCAAAATTTTCTCAATTTATAATTTTTTTCCTTGTTTTTAATGAGATACAGATAATATCAATATTAATAGCACAAGTTCTGTAGAAAGACGAAATTTTGACGATTCATTCTATAGAATAATTCCTATTGAAAAAAACGCACAGAAAAGCTGGGGAATTTTGTAACGAAACAGGCGAAAAGCTAATAGAGTTTTTAATAGAAATCCAATAAAATTTGCTAGCAAATGTGCTAGCTGTCTCTCTAAAATTTGGTTGTACGTGTACAAGTAGCAGAGAATATTCCTGGATGAACCCAAAGGAGAAATTCTCTTCCAATCCTCAATAATGCCACCGTAAAAGTTTCGTATGGAGAGCTATTAGAATGATCATCCTGAGGTGAGAATTATTCATCAATTATATGAGATATGGAGTAAAAATGTTTGAATTACTCTGCTTTTCAAGGCTGCAGTCGTGGATCTTTCAGCATGGCAAGTAAGTGAGCCCATTGGTGGAACTCTTCGACGTCAAAAGAAAATTGTTATCATCACTCAATTTGAAAATTCCACCAAGTTTTCGGTGCCCCGACCTTGATAATTACGTGAATGTGCCAACTGGTGAATTGGTTTTGAGGAATATTCACAGACAGCATTTGGCATTAAAAGTATCAAAGACCTTATATCCTCCATGAGATCCACCTGCATTTTTTATGAAATAAATAATTTCAGGGTGTTGTGTACATCATTTATCCCCCATCCAAATGCTCCATGTCTCATTCACGAGATGAAGAGACTATGTCGTTCGGTTGAACGAAAAAACAATAGATGACAATTTCAGGTGCAGATTGAAGAGGGAATTTTTCTCATCGTTGGTTTCATAATTTTCGATTTTTTTTTCTTTCAATTGGTTTCTCTGCGCAGGAGGATAGAACTTAAATTTTTTTTCTCTTTGTTCCCCCTTTGAGGTCTTCTATCTAGTCTCTGAATTGAACAAAATTAGTTCAAGGAAAAGAGAAGGATTTCCGTGTAGAAGGTTGATAAACAAAAAAACATTTTTATTTTTGCGACTAATGATTTATTCGAGCAATCAATAATTACACCAAGAAACTAATAATAATGAACTTTATCTTATAATAAGAGGGGATATTTAACACAGGTTTAATATTAATTTTTCGTAATTTTTTTTATTTTCATTTCATCAATTTTTTTCTGCTTTCTCATTTGTTCTTAATTACCAACACGAAGATCTATACCCTAAGCCCTTAAACAATACGATAAGCCTAGAAAGGATAATAACTCCATAGTTTCACCATTATCATCATTTTTTTCCAAAAACTTTATTATTCCTCCATTCACTGTTTTTTTTCCGCCTTTTTTCAGTTATTTCGCCAAAGGATAGTTGGATCAATATACAAGGTAGATTGAAATAATTAAATCGACTCACACCCCCGGGTGATCAACAAAATTCGTTTTTTTTCTTCTTTTTATACAACAAAATAATGGTCTCTATTATCATTAAATTTTCATTATGAAAATTTTCATTTAAAAAAGGAACATTGTCACTCTCGTGAATTTTTTCATCATTTCTGTTTTTTCCTGTAATGGTTTTCATCCCTACTTAGTTTGTTAAATATATACACAACAGAAATAATTCATTTATCACACGCTTTGTACATCCTCGACGAATCAAAATGGAAATATTATCAAGTTTTCTCTCATTCACTCAATTTTACTCATCATAAAAATTATGTTTCCCCACACAAATCATTTTTCATCGCCTCAACAAATGAGGATAATTCCATCGCTTCATAATCATCATCATTAAACAAAAATACCATGTGTGTGTCGATCATCCTTCATTCCACATTACAAAGTATAAACTGTATGAAATATCAATATTTCTTAGTCTTGTGCATTGCCATTGCTCTCCCACAATTGCACACAATGCTATTGAGGAATGATTATCCATTCTTCTCTTGAACATTACATTTGAAATTACTTACAATTTAACAAATACTCATTATTGATTCTTATGTACATTTCTATCAATTTTTCCACGTTCTTCATGATTCCACATCATTCACACGTGTCCATACTCTCATGAAAATTCATCCCTTAATCATGCATCGTGGAATCAGTACAAAGAACGTGGTGCAAACTTGTACGACTTGATGAAACCAATTTTCTCATTTTCTATTTTTTAATGAAGTAAAATAGAAAAATAAAGATTCAGTCCTCGGAATAAAAACAGGGAAATAAATGCGTGGACTAAATGTAAAAAAGGCACTGAAAAATCATGCCGTACTAGTTTAACAAACTGTGATGATTCGAAACTTAACTATTAAATAATTCAAGTTCGAAACTAGTTTTTACAAAGTCGTATTCTCTAATTTATACTGATTAATGAGCCAGAATCCCTTGTTCCATTATCTCTGGCACATTAACTCGTGATAATTCGGCAGTTTAATGATTCACATAATGGAGCAGAGTCCTGACAACTCGTGGCCCTTCTGAACTGGTGGCAAAACCGATAGTTTCCTACCTTGTAGTGATGGTTTCATCGAAGCTGGTACAAGGAGCTGAGGATTCTCCTCAGTGGGTGTTTCGGACGCTTGGGGTTTCTCTTTAGGCTCCTCAGGCTCTTTGTTTGCTGTTACTAGGGTCTTTGTGATGTTTATTTTGATCTTCGATTGTGATGCTGGAATTGTGGAACCCGCCGATTCCAGCTCAACATTACCGTCTATTGAACTTGTCATAGCTGCCAGTGTTGTGTCTACTGGGGCTCCTGATTCAGGTACTATAGGTTCTAGTATTAGAAGAGAAAAAATTATAAATGGGAAATGAATTAGAATTAGTGGATTAAAAAATTTTAAGGATGTGTAGCCATTTCCTAAAAATCTAATGTAGTCATCATCGAGGAAAATTCTGCAATTTTTGATAATTATAAAAATTTAGTTGCAGGAACTGTTAGAAAAAAATGAAATTTCATGGACAGTTGACTACTAATTTTCAGGACAGTGACACTGAATGCGATTTAAGGGGAAAAAATCATCAAATTTCAGGTTTCACTGAAAATTTAGTAAAATTCCAAAATTTTAAGCAGCATAAAGACGAGAATTCGGTAATTTATTTGAATTTCCAATCTAATTTGAATACTCAGTGCCAAATTACATAGAATTTTCAGTGAAATTTTTCCCCCCTAAATCGCATTCAGTGGCAGTGTCCTGAAAATTCCGGAATATATTTACCGGAATTTTCTGGTTTTCTATTTATTTTCAACGAAAAATGTAACTGAAATTGACAATTCTCATTGACTTTTCCCCGAAATTCTGAATTTTCAATGACGAATTCCTTGAATTCGTAATTGATAATTAAATTAGATAAAACTTTCCGCTACGCGGGATTAATTTTCAAATTACTGATTCCACTTGCTGGAAGATTCAAAAAATAAACATAGAATTCTGTCTTCACTCGGTAAATTCAAAACTTGAAAACGCCTACATTTTATTCATATTGTCTATTTTATTTCTGGAGAGTCAACTCGGGCTGACGGATCAAAAATATTACCAACATGAAGATACAATTTCTATTTGTTTTAGTTGAAAGAAATCAATTAAAATTTTTTCAAGTGTTTGCGATTCTGGATAAAGCTTTTTAGTCCTTTGAATTTTGTACGTCTGCATAATTATCTTCGTAAACACGAGAAAGGTTTTGTTCACGTACAAGGACTTTAATGAAAAAACAGAAAAACGGGAATATCTCGAAAAGTAGGTAGGAACTTTAAAGGGAAGGTATATATGTTTTCGTGTCACGGGACTTGAAAAACCCTATTTTCAAGTCCCGAAATTGGCGTTTCTCAGATCTTTCAACAAGAAAATTAATATACTCACCTCCCCATGGAAAACATACCACGCTCCCCCACGTGCTTGCCATCGTCGCCTTCGGCTCGGAAGACAATCTTGCACGTGGGGGACGGTGATCTGTTTTCCAAGGCTCGGGCATGTAATGTACTATTTGATTGATTCCGGGAAGGTGGCAGTAGACATGGTCACATACATACATGGTCGCCAAACTTCGTTTCTTTACGTTTCAGACCATTCTAAATCATTTTCAATAAAAATTGGAAAATGCGAAAATGAGACGATTACAATGCTTCCATTTGGATGCAAAAAAGATTTTTTTTCGCAGATGGAAAAATTCCCTACAAAGGTGTCTTGTGTCACAGTGATTCATTACTCAAATAATCTAATGTTCAAGATGTCAAATTAGCCAGCGACATTTAACCGCTGATTTTCATAAAATACCAATACACTATTCATTAAAGTGGAATCACGAAAAAATTAGGTATTCATTATTTTGACTTCTAATTCACAGATGAATACGCGTAAAATATGGATAGTAAAAAAATACCAATACCCTGAGAGAAAAAGTTCCAATTCTCCAAATTTTGTATGGAAAAGTAGAAGAAAATATATTAAATGAAAACATTCAATCTATTGGATAAAGTGATTCTGTTAATTGGATTAAATTTGACGGAATTGAACCACGTTTAAAATTTTATAATGAAACTTACCAGGTTCAGGTTCAAGAGGTTCAGCCTTCACCTCAACATTACTGAAGTCAAACGTCGGTTCATCAGTCTCCATACTGTCAATTGGTTCCTCTTTGATCTTGACAACATCCAAACTCTCCTCATCAACTTTCTCATCCACCAGTTCTTCGCATTTCCCTTCACTGTCGCCCTCCAGCGGTTGTTCGAGGCTCTCAATATTTTCCTCATCCACAGGCTTCATCTCTTCGTCTGGGCTTTTAGGTACTTCTTCTTGATTCTCTGGCTTTTGTTCTTCTGCTTGTTCAGTGGATTCCTCCAGAGGGATTTTGTTCTCATCTGTCGATTCTTCCAAGGTAGATTCATCTTTTGGTTCTAACTCAGGGTCTTTCACGTCGTCAGTGGATGTTTCCATTGCTTCGTTTACATCTTCTTTTTTATCATCTTCTGCGTCTGTTGCTGACTCGTCGACAGACATTGCAGACTTCTCCAAGGCACGCTACAAATTTAAGTTTATCAATCATGGATAAAAGATAATTTTAGGATTATAGAGAGTCTTGCCCTTTCAACATTACAACTTATTTAATTAATTGTTGCATTGTCTCGATAATAAGTGCTGTTGGGAATAACGACTGAAAGATATTTTCCAGAAAACTTTACAAGCCACAAAGATATTTCGACATTTACCCTCAAAATCACTTATTAAGTAAATAATCACTGAAATAACTGTCGATATTTGAAGCCATCTAAGTCTATAAATCTAATGTCATTAGTTATCAAACTATCTTGGTCACGAGAGGTGCTAGGAGAAATCACCGAGAGCCATTTCAACAGGAAATTACACAGGTAAAAACAAGCTCTTCTATAATCTTTCCTTTTTAATCGTTCATTCCACAAGGAATTTTCAGAATAATGAGCTAAATCTAAATTGATGTGAGTCTAACTCGATTGAATTTTTATTCAACTTCTTTGAAAATTACGTTTATTTCTAATTCTATTGAAAAATTCTGCTCCTTTTCCATAATTTTTTTATAGAAATGTTTACTGGAAAATATTGGGTACAAAAAATTGATAAAATTTCTATAGAAATTGCTAGATTTGAAGTTTCCAAATTGTTTTCCTTAAATTACAAAAAAAATAAAGTGCAGTGAAAAAACTTGAAAAGTTCATGGCGAAAAATTTCCGTAGAAAATATGTTAAGGATAACAAGTAGTTCGGGTAATTTTTTGTAGAAGGAAATGAAATTGATAGAATCGAAGAAAAACTAACGGAATTTTTTTAATGGATAAATTTTCTCGTACGTGCAGTGATGCTAAAAGAAAATGGCGAAATGAATTTTCTATGGAAAATTTTATAATCTGCAAAGTCTGTATTTCTTTCCCCTTAAGGATGTTCGACACCCTTTTAGCCAAAATTGACGTTGTTTTCATTTTTCTGGCAAATTATCGATGGGAGTGACGTGAAAAAATATAACGATTTTGTGGTTTGTCATTCTTTAATGGCTCACGAAGTTGCGTAGTGGTGCGATAATTTTCATGCGTTTTTTCTACAGTTTTGTGATTCTTTTTAAAAGTTTAGAGAAAACGCAGGAAAATGTTCGCACCACCTTAAAATTTCGTCAGTCATTAAATAATGACAAAACGCAAAAACGTTATATTTTTTCACGTCAATTCCATCATAAGTTTGCCAGAAAAATTAAAAAAACGTGAATTTTGGCAGAAAGGGTGTAGAACATCCTTAAAATCCCTCTTTTCCAAGATAGTCATCCCACTAACAAAGGTGTCTACTCGATGCATATGATTTAAGATAGATCATCCAAACTGTAGTTGTCGATTCAGTGTAGGATGAGCAGTCCAATTTCACACACACCCCTCCCCCCCGTCCTCACAAGTCAAAGGAACCGTACCATGTTGTGTCGTGTTAATGTTGTATATCGAAACTCCACGTGAGTCGTTAAGTGTAGCCAGGCGAAGAAAATTTAAAACGGGAAAAAAAAAATTATTTATCATCGATAATTCCTTACATGAATTATAACCTCAACGAGAGTAAGAAATTAATTCATCAAATTCTCCCTACCATTATTTTTTAAACAATAGTTGCTCGCTCCACTAGGGCATTCTGTACATTCAGGATACCCAGAACCATAAATTCTTTACCAAAAATGTTTGCCACTGCCGATAATTTTCGTATTAGTCATGAAATTTTTATTTATTGTCCTCTAATTTTTTGAATTTTTTCTCCATTTTAATCTTTTCCCTAATCCCGGAAAATTCATTTCCTCGTACGACTCTATTATTTTGCCACATCTAAATTAATTATTATCAAAAATACTACTGCCAATTGAGCACGAACTCAACCAGAATGTTTTTATTCATATAAATTTCTATTGACAATTTATTTCAGATTTTTATCTTCAAAATTTAAGTTGTGTTTATACTAGTTTAAAAGGTGTTTAAGTATTCCATAATTGAGCTGCTCACCCTAACTTTTTTTAGAGTTATTGAACTTATTCTAACTATAAATGAAAAAGACTAAACCACATAATGGCAAATGAGAATGAAAACATTAATCTACAATGCACAAATCATCCTTAAATGATAATTAAGAAGCAACATACCGCGATACATTTTTCCTACATATTTGCAAGAATGTAAAAAAAATTAATGTTCATTAAAGACGTGGAATTCATCACATTGAGGCAAAAGAATATGCACGAAAGTTTCGTCAATGTAGGAATAACTAACGATTTATTAAAAAATTCAGGAAGACTGACCTTATGATCCTCCAGACAAAGAGGGTGGTAGTTTTTATCCTCAAAGCTTACAGCTGGCCTCAAGTGCCACTCCTCCTTCTCTTCATTGTAAAACTGCTCGAAAGCATCGTGGCATACTTGACACTGTGCATCCTCATCACCTCCTGTTGGTACACTTGGTAAAATTGTTTCCTGAGGAGTATCCTCGGTGTTTGCTCCCTCAGTCTCAGCATTTTGCTTCTCCATTTCAAACCAACTTCGAGCTGTGAACAAAAATAATGGAAGGAAAATTAATAAGTTTCCTGTCACGTGAGCTGTAGGACAATATTTCAATTCTAGAATGATGAGACGATTGAGTCCAATGGAAATTTTTTTCCAATGTCGCGCTCATCTTATTTCTTCGTAGAAGACAGGAAACGTTTTTTAGAAAGAAGGCTTTCTGAACAAGATGATTTACCATTTTTCTATTTTAAATACATCTGTTGAGAGATCTATTCCATAAAATGATAAAACGTTTTATTCCTGTGCAATTATGTAAATATCTATATCAATGAGTGATTTCAACAGGAATTATAACGAAACCTCTTCAATGGAAAATTTTGTTTGTTTTTTACAGAGCTTTCCAACACTTCAACATGTATCACCTTCATGCAATTGAATTATCTCATGAATGAGCGACGCCAGGAGAAAATATCACAAATTTTTTTCGATGGATAATTTCATAAGCTCAGACATTTTTCCAAATTTTGTCACACAGGCACTCATTCCTAAGATAAATGTAGATTTACGGGTATCCAAGTATCTTTTATAGTTTGCTCAAGACCACACTATAGATTCAACCACTCTCAATTATCAAATTTGTCAATTAAACTGCGTAAGAAAAATTGGCAAAAAATGGTGAACATTCAGCGTCATTTAAATTACATTTCGCACAGAATTGTCATTTTTTAAAATATTCGTTGTTTATAAATAAATAGTTTAAATGGTTTAAACTTTCGGAATTCTTTTTTTTAAGCATGAAATCGATTTTTGGTAAAATTTTGAATATGAATAAATTTGTTACGATTCCGAACAAATCATTTTTATGGTGGAAAACTGATTGTTTAATAATTATTTGTAAAAAAGGTTCGTGATGTTCAAAAATTGCAATTTGTTAATTATTTCATCAATCTCTCTCAAAAAGTAAACTTTCCAATTTTTTTCCAGATTTTTAAATGTTTTCTAATGGTTCAATATCGAGATTCAAATTCTGCAAAGTTTGAATAATAAAATCATTGTAAAATGTCCGGAAACTTAGGGTCAAATGGGGCTCAAATAAAAGTTCTGATGTTCGATTACAAAAGTAGAAAAGCATTTCACTGGAGAAAAAATAATCAAAGTACTTAGATATCCTCAAATAGAATAGTCAAGAAAAGCAAAAAAAATCAGTTTTCCTCAGACTTTAGCTTTTTCCCAATGTCTAGAAACTAAATATAGATTAACAACTCTTCATCTATACTCTTCCCCAGCTCTGATTTTGCTCTACGAAAACACCTGTTTTTTTTTTCAACCATTGGTTTATCTCATGTCATTTTACTACTCGAATCAACAAATATAATCCCATAAAAAAAATACTCACCCCTATCATCAGATTCTTCACAAGTCTCGAACTGGGTCCAGTCACTAGTATCATAGTACCACGCTCTAGAATGCGCTTTTCTAGCTGAATCCCTTTCCCTTCGGTTCTGCCTAAAGTGCCAATCCAAATGAGCACTGTACTTCATGGGTCTATCAGGCCCAAACCTGAGACTGCAAGAGCCACACTGCATTCCACTGTACAACGGTACTGGATTAGCAGACATCTTGAGCGTTTCTGGTTTATCAAACAAGATGGGTGGCGCCTCAGGCTCCTTCTTCACCTCCGTCTCCTTCTTCACATCAGCAGCAGCCCCAGTGATCTTGGGAACAATTCCGGTATCCACGAGCCTTTGGAACAACTCATTGAGATTCAAGTTCAACGGTAGTACTGGGGCAGCAGGAATGGGTTTGTCTGTTGGCTCAGCCTCGTATGACATTCCAGAGGCTGGTGCCATCGCAGTAGACAGTGCAGAGGATAACATATCCAGCTGTAAATCAGATTTAGATCCAGACTGAAGATCACTAGCGTCCTGAGACACTGAATCCTGCTCAAGTCCAGACAACGAGGTGCTAACACTCCCGCCAGAAGTCTCAGATTTCTCTGGAACAACAGGAACATCATTGCTCCCCTCATCAGGACTCTCCCCCTTCATCCCGGCGATCTTAACAGCACCTGCACGAACACCTCTAGGCAATACCGAAAACCTGATGAAATGTTTCTTATCTCCGATCATAATAGGCTTGGGTAGCCCTCCAAACTCAACAGCAAACGGTCTTCCATTCAGCATAACCGTTTTCAATGAGTCAGTGAACTCCAACGTGTGATTTTGACCATCGAGCTCGAATATCTGGGGTTTAGCATCCAGAAAAACTGGCACCATAGTCCTAGCATTGATGATAAGATTGATCTTCGCTATTACAAGATCAGTCCTCTTGACCGAGCCAATCTTCACCTGGGGCGGAGGTCCCTCCAACTTTATGCCGACCTTTTTGGATCCCAAGTCCACTGTAATTGGTGGACCACCGAAATAGCACTCGTACCACCTGTCATCGATGTACAATTCACGAGTTGGTGCCCCTAGTTTTATTTTATGAACTTCATTTTCATAGAGAAACTCTTTGTATGGCTCGTTGAAAGCACACATTATCGTGTCTTTATCATCGATGAGAATTCTACGAGCGCCATCCTGAAAGCCAATTTCTCTCGGATCGTCCCAGGACATGAAGACAACGCCGACTGAGCCGTAGTATCTGATCTCCCTGGGCATGTTGTCGATATTGATGGACTTCATGGTGTCACTGGCAATCTCCTCCAGGAGTTGTGGGTCTGGGCAGGGGAGTTCCCTGTTGGGTCTGCCGTTCTCCTCAGGCGTGTACTTATCTTCCAATTGTGGAGGTGATGACGGTGGTACTGAGGTGTTCACAGGGGTGACAGGATTGGGGAGATGACCCAGGAGGTTTCCTCGAGGTGGTCCATTCATGAGGAGGCCAGCGGGGCCGTTGATGTTGAGGGGGTTGATGCCCAGAGGACCCATGGGACCGTTCGGCATGATACCAGGCATCATGGGACCATTGGGGCCCATCGGACCCATCATTCCACCCATTCGGGGGCCAATGTTCGAGTTAAAGCCACCGTGGAACTGATTGAAGTCTGGACGCATTGGGGGAAATCTGGGGTTCTGCCAGGGGCCAACTGGCCTAAATTCAGGGTTAAAGTGAGTCCCTGGGCCGAAGGGAGGGTGGGCCCAGGGGCCTGGCTGCCAGGGCTGATTCCAACGGGGTCCGTTTCGGTTGTGGTGGTCCTTCCTGTGACCCATGTCCCCGTCATTCGGACTGTAGCCACCGATATCGATACCCTTCTCCCAGACAAGAGAACCTATTTCCTTTTCTTTTCTCTGGGCAGCTCGAAGCTTCTGGTCCTCATTCATCTGCCAAATCTCTTGAATCAATTTGTGGTATTCGGTTTTGCTTATTGATCCGTCTCGCCACTGTTCCTCTGCTTGTTTCATTATTATTTCAATATTTCTACCGCCACGGGAGAGATCTGATTTGTCAGTGTCTTTGTTTCTGCGGTTTGGACGGGAGTCCTCGTCACTGGAGAAACCTCGACGACGGTCTTTGGGGTCGTCTGAGAGCTTGTACAGTCGGGGACGACCTAGGCGGTCTTTGTTACGGTCTCGGTCACGCTTTTCATCGAAGCTTGTTTGCTTCTCGCGATCGTTTTTGGAGGGGGTTTTCAGTTTTGCCCAGCTTGCTTTATTGTCATCACCGGAGATTACGGGTGGGGGTGGGGTTGGCGGTCGACCTGCTTTTGGATTCGTCAGGGTACGTAGGTCAACGTCTTCGTGGCCGAATAATCTGGAGAAGTGAAGTGAGGAAGAGATATTATTAGGAGGAAAATCGGTGGAAAGTGGGGAAATGAAATAAACCATGGGATGACATGAATATTTTTATGGGAAATAGGGGAGAGTTTGGGAGGCAGAGGCTGGAAAATGCAATTCAAATGCCGTTTCATTTTGTCCTTAGATCAAGAAAAGGTGAGTTTAGAAGAAATTATCGAGAGATATTTGTAAACAAGAGAATTGTCGGCAGACAAGTCTTCTGATCAATTCTGTCGTGAATCGGTAAATTAGAGTAAGTGCATTTTTTTCAAAAAAAAATGTTTTCACTAAATCGCTTCCACAAATTGATGGAAAATCCCTTATTTCATTACAAGTCCATTTGATGTTACAAGAGGGGACCTTTGTGACCCTGCGTAAATTCTTTGGAACTGTAAGAATTTTTGCAATACATTACAAAGCATCATTCCTTGAACTGTATACAGTAAATTTATTTGAGTTGTCTTTTTTCAATTTCAGCTGGGATGGTGCTTTCTTGTGGAAGGAATTGAGTTATTCTATCTATTTAATTTGGAATTCCGAGATAGACTTTCTTGAATCATCTTCTCAAGTAATCTCGAGTAATTTATCTAGATTCATTTTTTCATGAATATCGATTCTCGACCATGCTTTTTCACTAATTCAATTTGAATTTAATGCGAAGCCTCGATTTAAGGATTCATATTTGAATTCTCAAGAAAAATGAATAGTATGGATATTGTAGAAAGATACGTACGCATCAAACTTCTCCGTTTTCGTCCTCTTTGATGCTCCCCCATCGATATGTTCAGCACTTTGTCTCTTATTCACTGGCGGTAGAACTCGCAGATCTAAGTCCTCTTCTAGAAATCAACGACACGTACATAAAACAGATTCACAAAACTCCAGAAACAAAAAAATTAAAGTTATACAATAAAAAAAAACATCATTAAAATCTGTAATGAAAAATTTAGTAGTGAAGCGTAAAAATGATTCAACTCGGCATCATCCATTTTGTATATTGTTGAATGATCTCGGGGATGGATGATATTATGACGAAAATCATTGAATTATTTTTCATAGAAAACTCTCTTGCTTATCGAAAAAGTCTTTTGACATTTCTACATCACCGAGAACAAAGATTATTTCCGCCAGATGAATATTTCAACAGTAATTTCAAAATGTCCTAAATTAGATTCCAGGCATTACAACTATTATCCATCATAGAATAATTAATAATTGAGGGAGTTCATTCGATGTCATATGGAACATAATCATTTCACGATGGATCGTAATTGCAACGCATGACTGTTCTATACCGGCAAGAGAGACAAAAAATATAAAACTATTTGAATCAACCTGAAATACAATCTCAATGGTTCAATTATCTTACAAATGAACAGGGTGTATCATCGAGAGATCTTTTGGGAAGAATTTTCTCTCTAACAAAAAAGATCCCTCTACATCATCGTCTGAAACAACTCGCTACCAAGACAATCCTCCCAATTCCCCACTTCACCATTGAATAAATAAAATCATCAAGACTCACTCTTTTCATTAATGACAACAGCAACACTGGTTGGTGGTAGAGCAGCCCTAAGATCTTCATCCTTACTAGCCGACTCAATGAGACTCTCACTATCATCAGCAAGCCCAGATTGCTCAGGACTGGAGCCCGGACCCTCCTTATTCCTCCTAATATAATTTCTCTGTCTTGTATTCTGCCTGATATCTTTGAAAGCTGGTGGATGAGGAGGTGATACAATGAGTGAACCAGACTGTTCCTCCTCAGTAAGACCACCTGTACTAACGATTGACGTTGAAACCTCCTTAGCATTTAAATTACGCCTTGGAATACGATACGGACTTGGACTACGTTTTCTCCCTTTACCGCTTAATTTCTTACGATTTTTTGATAATGGGGACGAGGACTGTGGTGAGGTACGTAAAGACGTTGGTGAACTGTCTGAGCTCTCCTTATCACGTGATTTTGATCTAACTGGACTCGCTTCACGATCTAATTTAATTAATTTCGTTGGTGAAGTTGATGACTGTTTTAAACGCGTTTTATTACCTAACTTTCTATGTGATGATTTTGAGGATACTGTTGTTTTATCACATCTAGATGATGATGTATCACGCTTACTGTCTTTAACTCTATTATCACTATGTGACCGATTAACACTCGTATTTGACGATACGGATGATAATAAATTTGCTGATAATGATGAATTTGTCGATATACCAACTTGATTCATTAATTTTGCATTATTTATGGATAAACTATTGTTACTATTGCTAGAGGTTCGTTCTTTCTTTTGATTTGAACGATTTGATACACTATCTTTACACGAATTTAATGGTTTATTATTGTTGATTGGATTATCGTTAATACTAGGTTTCAACGATCCTTCGCCGATCGGTGGATTATTCATTGTTGGCTTGATATTGCTAGCCTTTTTCATTGTCAACTGCTGCTTTAATTGATCAGAAAGTACAGTAGTTATTGACGATGTTGAGGTGACTTGGGTGATTTCCATTGGGGGCTGTTGAGTGGTGGATTTCAGGCGGGGATCACGGGATGTCTGGCGGGCTGAGGCTACCATCAGACTGCTTGCTGGAGCTATTCGAGGGCCATTCGTTGTGCCGGCATTTTTCAGGAGAGACGCAGTTGCTGCTGGGAACTAGAAATTCAAAGGAAAAATTAGTCATTTTGATTTTTCAGTTTGTTTTTTTCTGTTTGTTCCATGGTGTTTACTTCGTTCTTTAGTTTTTTATCTCTGCTGACCTGCTTAGACACTTGTTTCACCACTTGACTAGGCATAACTGGAGCCACTGGCTTTCCCTGGATCGCCTCAGTCGTTGGAACGACCATGGCCGTTGGTAATATCTGTTGATCAAGACAAATTCATTTAGTTTCATTCAAAGTAGTTGATTTTTTTCGTGAATTGATCAGGTGAATTTAGGATAGTTACCATTCCAGACTTGACAACAGCATCCTGCTCATCCAGTTCCTTCTGTTGCTCCTCGAAATTCAATTTTGCTTGTAGTAACTCCAGTTCAACTTTTTGCTTTTGCAGTTCCAGTAGTTTTTTCTGCTGATTTATCAGTTCTTCACGTTTTGAGTTTAGTTTTATAGGTGTTAGATCGGGGGAGGGAACTGACAGTGGCACTGTTACTGATGGGGCTTGGGTTGATGATACCTGTGACTGGATGGAATAAAAAATGAGAATTTGGCTTGAAATTTTAAAAATCTAATGAGTGGATTTCTATGAGGATTTTTTGGAGAAAAAAGTGAGAACCACAATGAGAGAAAAGATGATTTATGCCAAATGAATATACTTTAGACAGCCAAGTGCCCGAAATTTTAATATTAAATCTGCTCGCAACTTCTGGTTTTAATCAAATTTGTCTGGCGCAAAATGTTCTTTCTTGCTGTACAAAAAAGGTGTTTATGTAAATTCCAATTACACATACAAAAAAGAACAAGCTTTATTTTAAGATTTATGATCTCAAACGGAGAGTTTTGAAAGTCAATCGTAACAAATTTATTCATATTCAGAATTTTATCGGAAATCGATTTCATACCTAAAAAAATAAGTTTTCCGAAAGTGTACACAATTTCAATTATTTATGAATAAACAACGAATGTTAAAAAAAATAATTCTGTGCAAAATGTAATTTTAATGACGCTGAATATTCATAATTTTTTTCAAATTTTTCTCACACAATTTAATTGACAAATTTGACGATTGAAAATGGTTGAATCTATAGTGTGGTCTATATCATATCTGATATCAAAAGTATCAACTTGAGTCTATGAAAGTCTCAAAGTAAGACTTTCAGGAGGTTTAAATTAAAATCTCAAAGTCTCAAATTGCGACTTTTAAAACGCAACTTGAGAATTTCAGGCGTCAAGCCAAGATTTATGACGATCTCATTTTAAGACCTTTGAAATCGTAAAATAAGGTATTATTTTTTGGGTAATTCCTTTCAATCCCAAGGTATTTTGGAAAAACTGTTTTTGAAGTGAAATCGACCGATTTTAAGAATAAATTTAGAATCGGATAAATGAAATTTCAGCTCATAATTTTTTGCAAAATATCTAAGAACATAAAATAAGTAACGAACGTTTTCGAGAGAAAAATCAGACCTACAATAAAGATTGTCAGCAAAATTTTGTTGTCTCTCTTATATTCTAAAAATATCTTCCAAAAATTTAGTAGCGAAGCGGTAAAACGGTTTAAGCAAATTTTGAGTGTTGTCCAGTTTTCAATGAATATCTCGAAATCTAAGGCAGATAGCGCAATTTTTGCCATGACCTTTGTTGTAGCACTCAATTCGCTCTACTGAAAAGGTCATTACGAACATATCGTTATCTCTCTTAGATTCGGAGATATCCCTCGAAAAATCAGCTAACGCCTAAATCGAGTTAGACAGTTTCACCACTTTGCTACTGAATTGATAGTGAGGCAAAATTGTCACCTCTTAGTAAATTAGTCATCGAAGGCTCAACTCCCAATTGAAATTTTTGAGAAATATCTTGGAATCGAAGAGATTGCAAAATTTTCCACAAATTTTTTGTAGTGAAAAATGAAAATTACAAAAAGGTCTCCACACAGCCACTGCGATTTCTCATAGATTCGGAGATGTTCCTCGAAAATTCAGCTAGGAGCTTATTCGACTTATTACTCTTTGCTGTTAAAAAGTAGTGAGAGGAGTGGAATAAAATGAAGGGAGCAATTACCATGGATAGAAATCTTGGATTCAGATGTATAGAACCCGAAGATATCGTTGGTGGTGATGCAGTGATGGGCCAGGCTGGATCGATACTCTGTACTCGTACATCAAGGGAATACAATTTAGTAGCTGGAAAAACACCATTCCACGTTTGTCTCAGCTTCCACATACTCGCCCTGGTAGCTTCATCAACCTGTTTAGTGATGAAACATCGTGTCAAGCCCACTTCAAAACTGCCCTTGGATAGTCTCATTCAATTCAATTTCAGAGGAATATTTCAAGTTGGAAGAAAGAAAATCAGCGATTTTGCAACAACAGAAGTGCATGCCTTTTCACCCTACAGTCGTAGTTATTGATCATCTTTTATTATAACTGGGGTTGATACTCGCGTATTGGCAAAACTATTATCTTATGATTCATCTGTTACTCAAGACCAAATCTTCCTACTACTGAAGAGTAGAAGTTGAGTTTTTGGTTTGGAAAAAATTGTTAAACTGCTAGCTTTTGAATTATCTTGGAACTCATTGAAAGACATTTATTGGAGAGAATTTTAATCATACATTTTCTCCCAGAAACAATTATTTCCACGTAAAATTACCAAATGATTAGTAGTGAAATGCTTCATGTTGAATTAAATATAATTTGTTACTAAGAGAGTATCTGATAATTGAAGAGTTCGAAGAAATGCTATGCGTCCTCTTGCAGGGGAAAATATAATTCCCATTAAAATGAAAAATCTCTTGGGATTTCTCCCTAGAACGATCCGGTCTCACGTAAAAGCAACAATTAATTAGTAGTGGAACGATTCATATCGAATAGAGTATGATCATGAATTAGGCCAGTATCTAGGGACTGAGTACTTGCAAGGAAAAATGTCGAGAAAACTTTTTTAACTAAACATCCTCAATATTTTCCCAACAAAATAATCATTTCTACGTATCATAAAACTGAGTAAAGTTAAGAAATAACCTCAACAGACTCTCTCTCTCTCTCTCTCTCTCTCTCTCTCTCTCTCTCTCTCTCTCTCGACATTTTTTTTGTAAAATTACTCTTTCCCTAGATAATTCAAGAAAACATAATGAATAAAGTTTCACCACATCCGATGACAACTAAAATGTAATCAATGATTTAATTACCTTCTCGAAGACACCACAAAATGTATTGACAATGTTTTGTGTGAAGAGGTTTAAATATGCTCCATTAACGTTCTTGACGATTGAGTCGATGAGATAAAGGACCGGTAGCTTGTACTTGCTTTCCACCTGAATAAAACAACAACAACACTATCCCACTGTTCCATCCAAAACTGCCCATTTCTTCAATAATTATTTTGCAATGTGAAATTTTTCATCACCGATAAATTCACAAGGTCAACTAGACAACCTTTCATATTCTCCTTGATGTGTCGTGACTTTTAGGTTGAATTTCTTTGCAGAAATTTTCATCATTATCATTATTTCTTAATTATAAATAATATTTATATCTACACTCATTTTCAAATGATGGAAGAAGAGTTGATAAACTTCTCTTTCATTCGTGAATTGTCAACTTATTTTTTATTTATAAAATCAGACACTTCGATGTGAAATTTACATATGTAAACATCCACTGGATTGTAGACACAAGTGCCAACATAATTCTCCGAAGAGGTGAAAAAAAAAGTGAAAAAAAGCCCGATATTTTAAGTTTTTTTAAGATTGCTGAATTATAATTTGCACTCTTTCAATTTAGTTCGTCGTTTAGGAATTTATTTTATTGGAAAAAATCGCTTTTCCTTGAGAAAAAATGTGTTTTTTCCCTTTAATTAACCTTAATTCAATTCGACAAACAATTCATAGGCGAAGCAGAGACGAAATATTACAGAAGAGAAAGTGAGATAGAGAAAAAAAGTAATTCAAAAACAAACGATGGCTGCGGTGAAATGTCGGTAGTTTGTAAAAAACGGTACTTTATTTTTTTTCCACATTATCATGGTTATTCATAATACTGAATATTATCACAGACAGAAGTTTTACGTCTTTTATCTTTTTTTTGTACCGTAGAACATGAAGAACCTGGAAGAGAATTCTAACTATTTTCGTACCTTCACTCAGGTGCACACAGTAGGTTTTCTTTGTCAATTCTGTGCCAATTTGTGTACTCATTAATTCTATTCCAATGTATCACTTTTACATGCGAAAGTATTTCAAAATATTTTCACGTTGTCATTGTTTTAAGGCCCCATGTTTAATTTACAGGTGAAGAGAATTTAATGTGCTGACACTGATTAATATTTTCTCATTCATCGTGTAGAAATTAATGCTCATAGCTTTTTAGATTTTATATGACAGTATGAAGATTAATATTCATTCGTTTTAAATATTTTTTGTGTCTTGAAGTGATAAAAAGATCCAAGAATATAGCCGAACATCGCCAAGAATATCGCTTTAGGAGTAATTTAAATGACTATTTTCACCTTCGTCAATTGCATTGTAAATAATGGTAAGATACGTTCCACTGATAATTATAATTATAGGCCCTCTCCCAAATGTAGAATTCAACCAATAACATGAAAGAAACATGAGTTTTGTGGCTGTGAAAGTGAAATCTGAACAACTTGTCTACGTCAAAAAGAACTTGGAAAATTCCTGTTAAATTTTTTCAAATCCTTGGATCTCTTTACATCTCCAATTTTCAAAAACTATACAACGTGCATTGGATCAAAACGTATCCACTAACAAAATCCGAGAACACTGAACAAAAATTATCTTTATTTTCCTGTAAAAAAAATTACAGAGATGATCTGAAAAATAGTTGATAAATTTTCGACCAAGAGATCTGAGCTTGAAATCCTTTGAAAAATCTTATCAGTTCCCTATCTAGAGTCTGGATACGTTGTGACTAGAGTTAAAAACATTCTCCCTCACCCTCATTGAAAAAAAGCTAGCAAATAAGAAAATATTTATGACTCTCACTCCTTCGAGACTGTAAATTTTTAACAAACTGGCGTGAAATTGATAGGGCCCATGTTCAATTTAACATTTTCGTCAATCATTTCTTAACAATTTGTTAAATTAACTCTATGTTTAAAACTACGGAGGATAAGTAACCTTTTGTAAGTGATTCTCAACAGCTTCGACGATTGCCTCGGCGTGTTCAACGTTGTCCTCAGCAAGCATTGTGAGCATATTTATGAGGGGCTTTGAATTGATGGTGAGGTCCTTCAGGGATGAAAAGTAGTCATCCGCTATTTCCTTTGCCTTTGTCGACGTCATCCTGAGTTTAGTCAATTTATTTTCTTCTCCGATATTTTTCTCTATATTATCTATCCGAGACAGCTAGAGTTCCGCTGGTTCCGATTTTTATGTGGTTTCTTCTCTGTTACACACATGGAAACAGAAATACATCAACTTTATTTTTTCCTTCGTATTGAATTAGCTAGATAACTCAAATTGATTGAATTGATAATCTACGTGATTCTGAAATTGAAAAGGCAAATGCGCAATATTTTTTCTGCTTCGACTCAAGAAAAACGAACACGATTTCCGGTTGTTGGAAAAAAATGATTGATGATTGATGGAGATGAATTATGCGGCGAAAGGGTTGGAGGCAAAAGCGGCACAAATATATTTCTCATGCAGATTATTTCGACAATAATCGGTTATTATCAAACAATTGTATTACTTCACAGATGGGAAAACTTCGTTATTACGCAATTATCACAGAATTGTGATTTTAGCACAAAATGTCAGAAGACGTGTTTTGCGGTCCATTGAACTCTCTGCAAAAAAATCTGATGAAATTCTCTAAACTCTTTCGTTAAGAGCCGTAGTTCATTCCTTCCAACTACTTCACAATTGAATTCATTTTCAGTCAATTATTGATGTTGAATGATGAAGATCCGTGTGTTGTACGGAATGGGATTGTTGCATTAACATCACTGCAATTTCAGTTGCATCACATCATCAACTCGACAATTACCGACAGCACGAAGGCTTTCAAGTACCTCAACATCGCGTGAATTATTTAACAAGATTTCTACATTTATTCACGCGTATTCCACGGAATTATGAATTATGAGATGAGCCAGTCGAAGACTTAACTGAACTATTACAACTGATAATGTATCACAAGGCGTATATTCATAAACCAGAATAACTGGAATACAAATGTAGTAAAGAACAGGGAACAGGTCTTAAAATCGTAAACTCATTATATTTCAAATATCTTTGAAACTACTGGGTCAAGAGAAAAATGTGAACAGCGCATTTTTGTAGCCTATGAAATATCCTACACAAAAAAACCTTTCAACATAATCTTTTGAATCCATGAAAAGACTGCATTTACATGACCTGAATAATTTGTTATTACTGTCCTGTCATTGTCACCACTTAATCGTGCAAACATCTTTAAAATTACTGAATTGCGAGAAAAATCGGAGCAGACCTTGTCTGTAGCCCATAAAATTCCTTACAGAATGGTCTCCAGTATTTGCCTCCACAAGTCCACCTTTTTCATTTATTACCTATTCATTACATTCACTGTAAGTATTTGACCTAATCCGCCTTTTCATAAGGCTAAGGGCTGCGGACAGAATTCTCAGAAGGTCAAACCTATGAGTGAAAATACCTGGCGCCTGGGGGAGGCGCAGAGCACGTTTACACAGAAATGCATTGACCCCTGAGTATCGAATAGAGCTGTTAATCTCTAGGCAATTATTCCAAACGGATAAACTCTCTCTCTTTATTTGATTGCAACAAGTTAACATCTTTCGCAGGAGTTTCTCGAATCTGAGGGAAATTACAAAATTACAGAATGTTTCAACAATAATTTCGATATCCGTCTCAATTTCCGAGATATCTCGAAAAACCGTATGGGATGCCGAAAAAGACTTGGGCCGTTTCATTTCTTTGCTACTAAATTGTTCACAATCGTTAAACATTTGCTCACCCTCTACCTTCCCACTAAAAATTAATATGCATTATTGTTTTCTCTAGTAAACGGTTGTTTCGATAAGAAAAACTGCTCGACACAGCTGAAATTTTCAATGACGCATTCGTCCGACTTTCCTCAACATACACACATATATAGTAACCAGCCTTATCACCTCAGTCCACAGTGCGACAAAAAAAAATCCAGAAAATCCAACGACGAGAAAAAAATATTCTACGCATGAAATCTAGGAGAAATTGGGTGAAAACTACGTGAGGATGAAAATACAACGCGGTATTTATGTAATCGTGGCCCGTTGGTGAAAATCAGAACGGCCTTTTGTAGATGTCCCGCAGATGCCATATTAATAAAACAAAGTAAACAGAAAAATTCAGGGCGAATATTTTTTTGTTTAATTATCACGCCATTAGTTACAAATTTTCGACGTTGTTTATTAATTTCGAGTGGATGATGCACACACTCGCACGATAACGAATGGATTTCATTCACGCAGCTGGTATTTTATCCAACGCCCGAGAGCACATTCATTCCACTTTTACACGAGAAAAAAATAGTAAACGTTTCACTGACCAAATAAATATCACTCACTGATTACCAGTAAAATAGGAAAATATTAGTGTTTATTTATTTACCTTATCCAGGCATTGTGATTATTTTTTGTTATACTGCGATAAATAGAGGAATGAGGATAAACTGCTGCACCTTTTCGCAATATTAACACACGCACTACTGCTTACGCGAACGATATTACCACGGGAAAATGGCGACAATTCTACTCGGGCTGGGGTTGTGAAGCAAAATGCGTGTGAATGGTACGCGACTTGTTATTGGTCGCCTGCCGAGTGTGCACGTTATATCCGGAGGTGGATCGACCAATGGCTGGGGAGCTTACAGAGTGACGAGAAATCGTGCAATCACGCTCACCTGTTTGGTGGGGTTGTAGATTGCGGACATCTAGCGGTTCATTCATGAAATTTGAGGGAATGAACTTGAAAAAATGAGGATTTCTACGTTGATTCTGATATGAAACCAAAAACTACGAGTGTAGCTAGTTTTTTTTTGGAATTCCGTTCATTTAAAACCTAAAATTTTTTGTTATTGTTTTTTCTCGGAGCGATTAATTCTCATTGAAAATTCATGAGTGGCTAGAAACAAATAAAAAACAAACTAAATCGAAATTGGCAGCTAAAAAATAATATCTTATAGTAAAGTTTCAACGGTCTTTTTTTATTGTTTAGAGTGTGCACATCAACAAGTTTTATTTACACAATCAGTAGGGGAGAGTGGGGTAAAATGGACACTTTAGACGTTTGTTTTAATTACTCATAACTCAGAAACAAATTTATCAATTGAGCTCAGTGTAAGCTCATCACAAAGGGAAAGAATTGTTCTTTGCAATAAACAAAGAATTATTCAATTTTATCAACATTTCAACCCAGTCATTAACATTTAAAAAAAAGTCAAGTCGCCATTTTACCCCAACCTCCCCTAATGTTCTGTTAACGTAATCAAAATATTTACACTTCTTACAATCATTGATTTTAGATATTACATAATAATAATCCGATAAAATTTGTAGTCTTCACTACTTCATTTCTGTCATTTATTCGGTTCATTCTATCAAAAGACAAGGGTAGAAATCAAATTTATGGGTATTCTTCCATTATTCGGAAAAATATATCGATTTTAAAACTTTCCCAGAGACATTCAACATTTTTTTTATTTCTTCCCACGCATGAAAAAATTCAGTAGAAAACGAGCGAATTCGCTAGAAAATTCTATTGGAATTCTATAGGAATTCTCTGGGGTTTCTATAGGATTTCTATCGGAATTCTATTGAACAATTCTATTGAACAAAATTATTGAATATTACATAAGAAAAAGTCAATAGATTTCGAATTTCTGTTAAAATTTTTTTCTTAAATCTTTTCTATTAGAATTATTGGGCACAAATTTTTCAAGTTTTTTCCGCTGGATTTTGTTTTGTTTTGCATTGCAGACTCCGAGTGGAAAAAACTTAGAAAATTGGTGCCCAAGCATTCTTACAGAAGAAATCTCAAAAGAAGAATTTAAACAGAAATTCGAAATCTATTGACTTTTTCTTATCGAATATCCAATGGATTCAACGCAAAAAACCAATAGAATTTTTCAATAGAATTCCAATAGGAATCCTATAGAAACCCCCACAGAATTCCTATAGAATTCCAATGGAATTTTATAGCGAATTCGCTAGGTTTGCTATTGAATTTTTTCATACGTGCCCGCCTATATTCTTTTGCATTTCTTTCATTTCTTATCGTTGAAATTAACGATAAGAAAAAGAACAAATTTTTTCAATTTTAGCCGATTATCCCTTTTTTTTTATTTTTAGTCTCCAATTCCACATTTTGCAATTCATTGCCATTTACGTAATTCTATTCATTCTATCAAAAGACAAAGAAAGGAATCGAATTTATGAGTATACTTTCATTATTTGAAAAAAAAAAACATTTAAGGAGGGACCCCGGTGAAATTTGAGAGTCTTCGGTGCATCTGGGGACTTATTGAACGACTTTATATGATGGGATATGTTAAAAAGTGGGAAAAATCGCGGACCCAAACGGTTTTGTCCCGTACTTCCACGGCAAACGTCGTTTTTCGTGCTTCTACCTTTAAAACGTTCCTCGTTCCCCAATTTTAATCCGACTTGATTTTTTTTTCAAAATGTTCGTGACATTCCAAAGAACAAAGGTAAGCTTCCGTTCTACGATCCATTATATAGATCACGAAAAAAAAGAAAAAGATGAAAAAAGGGGGTTTTCCTCTTGATCGTCAACTATTCAAAATAAAGACTTTGCAGGCATTATGCAAAAACAATCAGAGGGGAAAACCCTTTTTTTCGTTTTTTTTGTTTTTTTTTAGATTTTCTCATGATCTATATAATGGATCGTAAAACGGAAGCTTAACTTTGTTCTTTGCAGTCTCACGAACATTTTGAAAAAATAAAAATCAAATCAGATCAAAATTGGGGAACGAGGAACGTTTGAAAGGTAGAGACATGAAAAACGACGTTTTCCGTGAAAGTACGGGGCAAAATCGATTGGCTCCAGGATTTTTCCCACTTTTTAACATATCCCATCATACAACTAAAGTCGCTCAATAAGTCCCTAGATCCACCGAAGACTTTCAAATTTCACCGGGGTCCCCCGTTAAAAACTTTGCGGAAACATTGAAAAATTGATTTTTTTAGTTCTCCCCGCCCACTTTGCTGCATTTTTTGAATTTCTTCCCGCTGAAATATTGATATTCCTCTAATACTTGAAGAAAAAAAGTGATTCGAAGTCTCCGCCGACATAAAAGAATTAAAAAATCCATTTTCTAGCCGATTATCCCTTTCTGATTGTCTTTTCATGTTCTTTTTCATAATAATAATTGGAACCCGACCATAGGAACGAGAAGTACCGATATCCTTTTACCCTATGAAGGGAAAGAGATTCAAAAATTTTCAGGAATACTTGGAGAAATCTTTGTATTACTATTAGAATAAACTAGCGAACGGGCGCGAAGCCTACTATGTATAATAAAATGGTGTAGTATTTTAATGATGTTGCTCTGTTCTTTTTAAAAGAGGGGTCATTGGTTTTGTATCTGGAACTAAAATAAGATTTCCTGGAATCTTAATCTGAAGCCTGAAATTCTTAGGTTTAGAAAGTTTTGAAGTCTTAAGTTGAGACTTTGAAAGGTTTTAATTTCAGATCTACAAAGTCTCTAGTTAATATTTTCGAAGCCTTCAGTTTGAGACTTTCCAACTCTCAAGTTGAATCTTTTGAAGGTCTCAATTTGAGACTTATAGACTGAAGTTGATACTTTTGAATGTCTCAAGTTAAGACTTTCAGAACTTAATTTTTTTTATAGTGGAGTTCTGAAAATTTTAGCTTGAAAATTTTTAAAGTCCTAATTGAGAATAATTGAGACGGAAAGTTTCAACTAAAGGCTGCTAAAAGTTTTAACTTGAGACTGTTAAAAATCTCAAGAGAGTTTTGAAATTGAGAGTTTTGAAAGTCTCAATTTAGGATCATAAGCCTCAAAAGGCTACAGGAACTTCTTGGTTTTCTGTTGGGTTGATGGAAAAAAACTGTAAAATAAAGACCCGCATCGATCACGTATTAGAAGTAGAATTTGAGCTTTATTTCCAGGACTGTTTTTTTCAAGATTAAAATTTTTAATGTAGGGGAGGGTGAGGTAAAATGCTCCACATACAAGCATGAGTATCTGCTGACTCAATCAGATGATTTCCATCAATTGAATTTCATTTTGAAGCCTGGAAAAATAGCTTCGAAATGAGAAAATAAATGTTCAACTGCACCCTGCCAATCTCGAGTAGATAATGATTGGAAGCGGTCACTTGTAACCCCTCACCCATTCCATTTCAGCAATTTTGAAACAGATTGAATAATTATAAGCAAGAAATTGTTGTCAATGACTCAATGTTTCGATTTCTAGGCAAGCCCTCATCCAGGGTTTCTTTATTCTTTCAAAACACAAAAAAAAACAAATATAAAATCCTTTAACAATATAGTCATCAAATCGAAATGGAATACTTCAACGATCACATAACTTAATGTATTAATTTTAAGTTCGATCAATGTCTTTTCTTTTTAATTCTAGGAGAAGAACGCTAACTACCATTAGAAATCAGTAAAAATATTCTTTATTTGGTAGCTATGAAGCTTTTGAGATAAACTTTAATGTTAACAATGTTTTTTTCCCGCGCTCGTAGCTTTCACATTCACCGAGACCTCTTCAGCAGGTGCTGCCATCTTCAGTATTTTTTTGACTTAAAAATCCAGAATTTCAATCTCGGGCGGATCATCTATTGTATGCAGTATCTTGTTTAGTAGCTGAAATTCAATCGGTAGCTGGCTAAGTTCCTCAACGTCTTCGGACAGGCTCTCCTTTTCAAATATTTTATCAAAATCTTCTTCTCCAGTTAGCCTCAGTGTTTTTTCAATTCCTTGCATCTGAACCGTTGAAACATTTTCGAACGTTTCTGCAGTACTATCTTCCGTCGCAGATACGTCGTTCAAAAGTCCAACGTCTGCAATACGAGCCTGTTCCAATGCCTTCATTCGCCTCCTGATGGAATAAATGGTTCTTTAGGACTGATTAACGGGAATAAGTAGAATAACTTAATGTGGACTATTCAAATATTACGTGACACGGTTTTTGGACTTTTTAGACTCCTTCTCCCCTCAGTCTTAAGCCATCACAAAATGCATGACCCCTTTATTATGCCTAATTTTTTAGATTATTTATAAAATTGAATTTTAAAGATAAGAATAGGAAAAAAGAAAACAAATGTTTAGGTGAACGATTCAATCTTCATGCGATTCTCTCTGAAAATTTTGTAATTTATTAAGGTATTTTACTGAAAAACAGGTTTTTGTTACGATTGTCCAAATGTTTTTATAGATAATGTTTATAATATTCCCCAGTTATTAGAGAAAATTCTAAATAGTTACACAACACAGTTTAGGAGATGATAAATAGTGAAATGCGGGCTTTTAGCACCGCATCTTTCAATCTTATACGAGAAAACGGTTCTTACGATGGTCTTAAAAAACGAACCCGTGGTAGATTGGTAAATTCCGAATACGGTCAATTTTTTGTAAATTTTTATAGTACATAATTTTTGCCATATTCAACTCTAAAACATGGAAATTTCGTAAAACCAGTTGTTATTTGATTCAAACAGTTATTGTTGCCTTGATCAAGGCCATATAAGGATAAAAAAACAAAATAACTTGTGAGAATGTAATGAATCAAGTCATTTAGAATTGTTTTTTCGGAAATCCATAGGAACTAACGTTATCAGTGGTATTGTGTTAGAATATGCCTTAACGATATCCAAATAGTTCGGGCATTTTTTTCTGGATGAAATCCTCTTCAGAGTTTATACATAGAATAGATTAAGAGAAATTGTTGGGCGCAATATCAACATTAGTTTCGGAACATTTTATCGAGAAAACAATTTTTGAAAGAATGAAATTTAACGCATTGCGTACTTAAGAGCTGTATACTCCCACTTTCAATCCAATCGTTCATAGTCTTGAAGCATTTTATGGTACCCATGGCCATATATGATGTTGTTCGTGATGGTGGGAGAAAAATTTACTAATATATTTACTTAAGGATAATCGGGCGAGCCCGGAGGGTTGGAAAAAAAGCAGCCATTCTCAGTAGAAAAACTCAATAGAATTCAATTTTTCTATATAACTTATTCTATTGAGATATTTTCTATAGAATTTCCTCGGTTCAAATTTTCTAAGTTTTTTCGTTTGATTTTCTTGATGAGAAAAAAATAAAAATGGAATAAAAAAAATTAAGAAAATTTGAGTCGAGCAAATTCTATAGAAAATATATGAAACGAATAAGGTATATAAAAAAATCGAATTCTGTTGACTCTTTCTATTGAACATGTCAATAGAATCAGCCAAAAACTAATAGAAAGTGTAATAGAAATTCAATAGAATTTTCTAACGAATTCGATAGGTTTTTCTATTAAATTTTTTCGTGCGTGTGAAATCTTGTCTGAAAAAAAGTTGCTAATTTGAGCGAAGTAGGTACTTGGACATCCGTAAGTGGTTGCCATCACAATATTCCGAAATTCCCGTTTGTAAATCTTTGGGATAGTTTGAAGAACTAGTGGAACGTCAGTTTTTTTATAAGAAGATGAGAACTAAATTACCTCTGCGATTTCGTGGACGAAAATTCGAAGAAAAATATGGTGTGATATCACAATCTGAGGAACCCCCTCCCCCCTTTCGTCGCAGAGCGTCACAACAACAGACTCCCCCGCCCCCCTAATCGTGCGACTTCATATTCGAATGCCCCCACACTGAGAAATAAAATTACTTCTGCCAAGTAAATTTACTTATCACAAGTAAATGTATATAAATATTTGCATTTGAAATTTGTGGATTTTATTGTAATGACTAAATTTACTTGACAAAAGTATTTTTTTCTCAGTGCAATGGAATGACACAATTAGTTGAAGCATTCAGATATTGTAATAAAAAGAATTATGAAAAATTGTATGAAATTAAACGTACTTATTGCGAAAAATTTTTTTACGACTGTGTCGTCTAACAGAACGTACTAATCGTCTCCGCCCACCGGGTGTAGTTGGTGGAAGATATCGCCGTTCTGCAGGTTTTCTGAATAACGCTTTGCATTTTCCACGGTCTCGTTCCTGTATAAATTCCAATTGCTGAACCCTCGAACAATATTCACTTCTTTCTTGAGATATTTTGTCAGAATATTCTTCATTTTCTGTGACTTCTCGCTGATATTCAGACCCAAAATTTCCGTATTTGTTTGCACAAATCTCATCAGAATCGTCTGGTTCTTGTTTGAATGCTTGCTGGTAAATCGTCAAAAAATTTCCGTTTCTCTCTGTACATATCTCATCAGGACCTTCTCGTTCTTGTTTGATTTCTTGCTGGTAAACCGTCAGAAAATTTCCACTTTTTTCTGTGAATTTTTCAGGAGAATCTGTTCTTTCATCTAGATCTTGTTCTTGTTTGATTCCCTGTTGCTGCACCATCAAACAATTGTCGCCCTTTTTATATATTTCATGGGAATCTTGTCTTTCGTGTGATTTTTGTTCTAATCCAATTCCATGAGGCTCAATCCTCGAGCGATGAACGCTGTTTCCCTCAGATGTCTCCTCAGAGTCTTCGGGTTCTAGTTTGACTTCTGGTTGGTAAACCGTCAGAAAGTTTCCAGTGTCATCATAATCTTCTGGCTCTTGTTTGATTCCTCCAGGAGGAATCTTAANATCTTGTCTGAAAAAAAGTTGCTAATTTGAGCGAAGTAGGTACTTGGACATCCGTAAGTGGTTGCCATCACAATATTCCGAAATTCCCGTTTGTAAATCTTTGGGATAGTTTGAAGAACTAGTGGAACGTCAGTTTTTTTATAAGAAGATGAGAACTAAATTACCTCTGCGATTTCGTGGACGAAAATTCGAAGAAAAATATGGTGTGATATCACAATCTGAGGAACCCCCTCCCCCCTTTCGTCGCAGAGCGTCACAACAACAGACTCCCCCGCCCCCCTAATCGTGCGACTTCATATTCGAATGCCCCCACACTGAGAAATAAAATTACTTCTGCCAAGTAAATTTACTTATCACAAGTAAATGTATATAAATATTTGCATTTGAAATTTGTGGATTTTATTGTAATGACTAAATTTACTTGACAAAAGTATTTTTTTCTCAGTGCAATGGAATGACACAATTAGTTGAAGCATTCAGATATTGTAATAAAAAGAATTATGAAAAATTGTATGAAATTAAACGTACTTATTGCGAAAAATTTTTTTACGACTGTGTCGTCTAACAGAACGTACTAATCGTCTCCGCCCACCGGGTGTAGTTGGTGGAAGATATCGCCGTTCTGCAGGTTTTCTGAATAACGCTTTGCATTTTCCACGGTCTCGTTCCTGTATAAATTCCAATTGCTGAACCCTCGAACAATATTCACTTCTTTCTTGAGATATTTTGTCAGAATATTCTTCATTTTCTGTGACTTCTCGCTGATATTCAGACCCAAAATTTCCGTATTTGTTTGCACAAATCTCATCAGAATCGTCTGGTTCTTGTTTGAATGCTTGCTGGTAAATCGTCAAAAAATTTCCGTTTCTCTCTGTACATATCTCATCAGGACCTTCTCGTTCTTGTTTGATTTCTTGCTGGTAAACCGTCAGAAAATTTCCACTTTTTTCTGTGAATTTTTCAGGAGAATCTGTTCTTTCATCTAGATCTTGTTCTTGTTTGATTCCCTGTTGCTGCACCATCAAACAATTGTCGCCCTTTTTATATATTTCATGGGAATCTTGTCTTTCGTGTGATTTTTGTTCTAATCCAATTCCATGAGGCTCAATCCTCGAGCGATGAACGCTGTTTCCCTCAGATGTCTCCTCAGAGTCTTCGGGTTCTAGTTTGACTTCTGGTTGGTAAACCGTCAGAAAGTTTCCAGTGTCATCATAATCTTCTGGCTCTTGTTTGATTCCTCCAGGAGGAATCTTAAAAAAAATACTTCGATTCTCAAATTTTTCAGGAGAATTCATCCTGCCATCTAGGTCTCGTTCAACAGTTTTCGCATTACATTGTTCTCTTGCACAATTCAAAAGTGTATTCTGTAAGATGCGTATTTGCTCCAATCTTTTCATTCTTCTCCTGTGAAGAGATGAATAGAAATGAATATTACTTAAATTACTTAAAAAATAAATGATGATTGTAAAAACAAAATATAGCAGGAATGGGAGTGGGGCAAAGTGGAATGTTTATCGCTGACTGAAACCCCCAATATATTTGTTTGTAAACAAGGATATCAACAATTAAAGTTCTTCACAACCGTTCCACTTTGCCTCGTTCACTCCTAGAATACGACATCCAACGTACCGATTGGCAAAAATCTTCTTTTTATTGTATCGGAGGGCAGGTCTAATTTTTTTACTTCTCGGATTACCTCGTACATAACGACGTTTGTCTGGTGGAATTTGGAGAGTATGTAGACATATAAGCATCTCAGGATGGGTTTTCTCCCTATGTGTTAATTTCCGACTTCACTAGAGAAGGATTTGAAGAAGGATTCCATAACAATTGGAGAAGATTTCACATGGTGTTTTTCATAAAGTTTGAGGCCTCGTAGGGGTAATTATTTGCCAAATCTAATTTTCGTAAATGTTTCAAACTGAATTGTGTCCAGAAGATATAAAAATCGCTTTACCCGATAGTTTATTGAGAGACTTGAAGAACAATGAAACAACGTGTTGTGTTTTCTCCGTGTAGAACTGCTCAGCTGTTCTATTGCTACTGAGGATGGTAATGTAGGGAGTCGTGGTTCAGGTGCAGACGTTCTTTCCGGGACGATGTTGCATATCTTCATGATCGACGCACACTATGGCACAGGTCGAAATGTGCGGCAGGGATAATTCGAAATATTGTACGATATGACAGTATTTTATGTCATAAGGCGATAAAACTATTATCTGGCGAATGTGAGTTTATAATCTGAGCCGAAGGCGAGGATTATAATCACATTCGCCAGATAATGCTTTTATCGCCGTGTGACATATGATATTTTATGTCGTTCGGCCCGAAAACCGTGATCTAACCGAGCGAAGCGACGTTAGAATCGCGGTTTATCGGGCCTAATGACATAACTGTATTCTCTCGAATCGTACTATGAGTTCGTATCGTACAAATATTCGAATGGCAACTGTTTCTTTCATGTAGATAAAATGTACGTACACTGATAAAACGGTTTAGTCGAACCAAACGAGACTCTTTAACTATTACCACGATTCGTTAACTATTAGCGAATCGCGGTAACAGTTAAGAAGCCTCGTTTGGTGCAACTGAATCGTTCCACCTTTTCTATCAGCGTACATTTATTCTACAGTATTTCAATACAAAACTCACTATATATGTGGGTGTTTCTGCCAATTATTAATATGGTTTTGTCCCTTTAAAATTTTAACTCTGTTGAGGTCTTTTTAATGGTTCTGTCAGCATTTTGAAAGCCTAACAAGTTTTTTTTTTATTTTCAGAATTTTATGGTAAGCAAAAAGTCAATGTTTTACACTTTTACACCTCATTTCATTATTGTTCCTTTCTGAAGGCAAATCGGAACAAATTTCTATATTTCTGAAGCCAAAATTTTATTGTAGATAGTGTCATTATTGATAAGTGTTTTATAAATTTATATTAACTGAAATTTTCAAATACTCGCGAATTTCCAGGAGCGACTCTCGTATAGCATGCGTGTCGCTAATGATAGAACATACCCGCTAGCACGTCCCATATGCGAGACCAAATCTCCGGACGCGCGCGCCCACCAAATGTCGGCCTGCCGGTCAAAGTTTCTACTAGGGTAAGAAAAACGTTCTGAATTGATTGAATGATGGCTTACAAAATTTCTTTGGATATCGTTTTTGGCCGAGTTCGAAGATGAAGGCGACAGCAATAATCGTTATTTTAATTGATTTGAAAATTTGCAAAAATTTTGTATTTTTTGAAAATAAAAATTCCGGGAATAATTTTGAATATTATGCTTCAAATGAATTCAGTAGTGAAGTGGTAAACGGAGATATAAGTCGACTTATCTCCTATTTGAGTTTTTGAGGAATATTTCCGAATCTAAGGGAGATGACGAAATTTTTGTTATTTCATTTGTTGTAACACCCAATCGGCTCCACAAAAAATGTTATAACAAAAATTTTGCTATCTTTCTTAGATTCCGTGACATTGATTGAAAACTGGTCAATAGTCAAAATTGACTCATCTCCTTTTACCACTTCGCTACTGAATTCAATCATAGCTTGAAATGTTCGCTTTAATGCCATTCAGACGAAATTAAAAGATGATTACGACAGGTATATTGGTTGATTCAATTTTTATGATAATCGTTGAATATTTCGAATTTTCCATGAATTTCCGGATATAGTGATAGTGATCGTTGGGATGATTTCTTCAAATGGAATCCCGGAAAAATAGACCACGGGAAATTCTTAAGGTGGGTGGATTTTACGCATGTTTTGGGTGTCTTGGATATTTTTGCTGGTCTATTTTTTTCGTCTACCCTCCAATGATGATGTCTCAAATTCATTCAAGTATGTATAAATGAAATTTTCTATTGAAATTTTATCGAAGGGCTAAGGGGAGAGATAGAACCGTAAATAAGGCAATCGGTTGTATAGAAGCAAGGGATAATAAGAATAATGATGATAACATTCAACTAAGTTAAAAAATTGTCATAATTAGTTAAAAAGAAATCTTATTCCACGTAATAAATTGAAGCAATGAATTATCCATGATAGAAGGAAATGATGCGCAGAATACCCATTTGGAAGCATATTGCTAATTTATTAGCAAAAATCACTAAACGAAATGTAATACAAGAGCAATTTCCCACTTGTTTTCTTTCAAAAGTTTTGACGAATTGTCAATTTCTTTTTGAACGAAATAAAAACGTTCGGGAAACAAAAAGCGATTTTAGGGCATTTCCAAAGGCTGGGGTCTAAGAAACCATGCTGAATCGAAAGAGCGAAAAACTCTGTTTGGAAATACATATTGAAAACTCAAAAATCTCTTTCTATCTGTTTCAAAATGAAAATTTTCCAAATTAATTTTTTGATAGGGAAAATTTGCGTTTTGAAACAAAAATTTAATGTTTTACACTTTTTGTACATTGTAAAAAAGTGGCAATCATGACACTGCCTACAATCAAACAATCAATCGATCAATCAATCAATCGATTTAGCTTCAGAGACATAGAAATTCGTTCCGATTTGCCTTCAGAAAGGAACAATAATAAGATGAGGTGACCCTCCTGACAAATATTAGAGGCTCGATAAGCGGTGGTAGAAAGAGATCCAAGTCACAGAGAATGGGGTGACCAATGTATTAATCGCTTACCCTCCTAGAAAGCAATAAAAATATACCTGAGATTTTTCCTGTGCACGTGCACCTTCAGTTTGCTGGAGGGGCGCCCGATCGTAAAAATGTGTTGAAGAAAGGGAAAAGAATGAGTCTTAGGAAATGCCAAAAGGTCGGTGTGCACTCCAACAGGGTTACTCCGGACAGGGTCAATTCGTAAAAGTGGACCCCAAGACATCCCTAAAAAACGTTATTCTTACGATTGTTCTTATAGACAATGCTTACAATATTCCCCACCCGTTGAAAGAAATTAACTGTACTACACAGTTTAGGAGATAATAAATAATGAAATGTGGGCTTCTATAGCACGCGAGGCATGGGCCAAACGGGAGTTATGGGTTACCCCGAACTTGATTTTTCCATGTTACGAGAAAATAGTTCTTACGATGCTCTTGAAAAACGAATCCGTGGTAGATTTATAAATTCTGATTACTGTGAATTATCTGTAAAATTTTATAGTACGTAGTTTTTGCGATGTTAAACTCTAAAAAATGGAAATTTCGTGCAATTATTTTCTATTTGATTCAAACAATGAGTTAACAGATTATTAGTTATTGTTGCCTTCATCAACAACATATGAGGATAGAAAAACTCAATAACTTACGAGAATGCCATAAATTAAGTCATTTAGAATTTTTTCTGGAAATCCATTGGTTTCTAACTTTTGGGTGGTATTGTCTTGGGATGTACCTTAAATCGGCGACTCTGTCACAAAAGATCAATTTTTAATCTTCAAGAATTTGAAAAATTTGAATGAAGTCTAAGGTTTAAAGACAGAGCGCCTTGCTTCGAAAAAGTTCCATACCGATACTCTCATTGTACAATATATATCGTGAGGCCTGTATTTTCTGCAGAAAGTGTCCGCGTTGTACCTCTGTTATGATGAGCTGGAAAAACGCATGCAAAAATGAAACAGATCAATGCGCACTCTTATTCAAACACGCAACCATTAACTTTTAACTTGCCACACATGAGTATGATTCGGTTAAATGATTATCAATTAAGGAATCGAACTACTAGTATCACTCAACTGATGAAGTACTTTTGAAGGGGGGGGGGGGAGTCATACTACCATTTTTAGAGTACCAGAATATTTCATAAAAAATTTTGATAATTTTTTTCAATTTTATTTTTTACGGATGAAAAAGTAGATGAGACATCATTCTGGTTCTATTCGTCAAGAATATTCATTATTTATTTGTTACAAGAAAATAAAGGGGAACCTAAGTGAAATTTGAACGTCTCTGATTGAAGAAAATAACTATTGAGCGACTTTTGATAAATCACGGGGTATCTTAAAAACTAACAAAGAGACGCTCAGGTGTGTGAGTCACCGATTTTGTCGAGTCTGCCCCCAGTTGTAGAGGACCATTAGAGGATGGCACCACCAAAGCTCTAGAGTGTAACACTCAAGAATAAGGGAAAAATTTGAAACACAAAATATATACGAGTTCCAAAATTGGAATCATCACAAAGCCGCCATGGCGCAGCGTTAAGCCTATAGAATCGATTGTCTCGAGTTCCCCGATACCCTGTTATGATTATTATAATCATCAATTAGCATTCGCATATTATAAAATCTTTTTTTTATTACCCTTCTCTACGCCAGTAACTTAATGCCTTTTTTTAAAAACACACAGTGCATCTCGTTCATTTAAAAAATTTTTTTGGGCATCATAGTTGTAAACAAATAGCAATCGTGTGTGACCATGCGCATAATTGAAGAAAAAAATTATTTTCAATAGATATTTTCCTAATAGATAAAATAGAAAATTAAAATTCTCTTAATAAAGTTTAAACTCGAGAGCTGCTAATAAGCCATAAGTTTATATATTAAATCTAAATACTGTATATTAATTTTTTTAACTACTTTTTATATATGTAAATATTGTAAATAAATTTTGTTATCTGAATAAAAACATTGTTAAACAAAAAAAAATAGTCTCGAGTTCGAGTCTCCTACTGCCCACTTTTTAAAAATTTTTTCTTAATCGTATAGACAAAATTAAATGATGAAATATCGTACAATCATTGTATAATTCCTGACATTCGGTTTCATCGTATAATTGTTAATTATTATTTGAAATAAGAGAAGAAAGAAAATATAAATGATACACTAGTAATAGGAAAAATATAATTTTTTATTGTTATTCATTTGGAGGGGCTTCTAACACTTCTGTCATCGTCGTATGTTCCTCCACGTTTGACGTCATTTTTCCAACATTTCAATTGGTATTTCCGCTTCAAACTTCGCGAGCCTCTTCTCTTCAGTGACTCCAGATTCCACTCCGGATGTTGCATCGCTAACCTAACCACCTTCATTTTGGTTTCCATGGGAATATGTTCGATTTTGCTTTTTTTTCCTCAGGAGGCTCATACTCATCGGACGTTGGCCAACCGCCATCATCATGATTATCATCATTCTCGTCATCCTCTGGATGATATAGATTCTCCAAATCTTCTTCATGGGTAAGAATTAGTTCTTCGTCTTTCACCATCGTTTTCTGTCCTAGCCTTTCCACGATACGATGTATAATTCTTCTTCCATTGTCACTGCTTCTGACGAGATCGGCCGTGTTGTTTGCTCGGCAAGGAGATCATTGCTCAATAAGAGCTGCTCACATATTTTATCATATTTCTCACATTCATTGTGTAGTACGAATATATAAACTGCGATGCGTTTATCATTTCCATATCATTTATAAGTATTGTAATTGGTTTCGGCTGTCTTAACTTGAACAAACAAATAAATAAATGAATGAATAAAATAGAGGAGTAAGCACTACAGTATATACCGGAGGATTGAATCGTAAAACATATGATTCAACATGAAGAAAATTCATACTATTTGAATTATTTACTTCCCGTCGTTGAATTATCAAAAAACAATGTAAAAAATCAAGCGTTTTGAGTGTTCTCGTAACTCATCTTTTCGTACGTATATTGTATATGGTTTATTGTTGAAAAACAACTACATTGAAACATAAAAGAGATTTAACGATGTAAAAATTTTGTAAAAATAAATCGAATTCTGTAATTTTGGCGGTATGCTAACATAATAATTTTACATTTTGTATATTTTTCGTGAGCAGAGCAATATTCAATGCTCACTCTTGTTCAAACACGCAACCATTAACATTCACCTCGTTATAGATAACTTTTACACGCCACAAAATAATATGATTTTTTTGCAAGATTATGAAAACGTGAAGTAAAACTACTATCACCATTCAACTGCTGAAGCAGTTGGCGTGCTCTCGAATACTTCGAAAGGAACCGAAATGAACAAAAGAGAGAAAAAATTCTACTTCTGCCTCATTATACTAAGCAATTGCTTCGGCCTCTTCGAATTCGGAGTGAAAAGAATTAAGCTAAGGGGGAGAGGTACAGAGCTTCGGCTACAGAAATCTCGACTTGCAAGAGTTTGGAGCCTTATCTTGATCGGAATCATTTTATACACAAACTATCTCATACCAATTTTGGACTGTTGGATGTATACTCAAGACAAGTGGATGATGTTTGATTATGCGAAGAGTTTCCAAACGATCCTTGGAAGTTTGATCGTTATTGTTCTTTGGATCTATTGCTTTTTGAAGCAAAATTCATTAATCAAGATGGCTAACAAATTCATCGAGATCGATAACTTCTTCGAAAAATATCGTCACATTTTTCAGTTGACGGGATTCAAGGATGTCATCCCATTCACTGTAATATTCATAATAATGTCGATCGCTGAAGTTGTTATGGAAAATGCGGCATACGGTTATTACGGCAAATATTTATGGTACATCTGGTGGTACAAGTACCTGTTCCCTCACTTTGTACTTATGACATTCATCCTACAATACGCAACCGTTATCAGAAGTATGAGGATCCGCATGGAATCGTTGAATAGAGGACTTGCGAAATTGACAAGTTCATCGCATGACTTTCAGAACAAATTTACAGTAGCTGGAAGAATGTTTACGAATGAAATGATGCTTGAGAGTTTCGACTCTATCAGAAATCTATATGAAGAGCTGTATAAGCTATCGGTGGAAATTTCGGAGTTCTACTCATTTCCGATCCTGCTTGTGATGGCATATGTTACATTTCTAATCGTCACTTTGGCGTATTGCTTGGTGACAATGGTAATGCATTTTTATTCCAGTGAATTAATCGTGAGAATATTGCCAGGTTTGTCATTCTCACTATTGACTTCTCTATCTGGGCGATTGATACATGAAATTGAAGGACTTGTCAAGGAGGTAGGTAATATTTGTTTACAGAACAAATATTATGATTGAAGATTGACTTCCATTATGATTGAAGAATACTACCAAATAATATGGCGGAAATTGAAGAAATGTTGAGAGCTGAATGCGAAAGTACGTACGAAAAACTTCGTAAAAAACCGGTTTAAATCAATTTTTGTAACATGAACTTCTTTTAAATTTAACGCCTGAACTTCTCAAATTGAACTTCTCTCAAATGAAGTTTTCCGGTTGTATTGTTTATTGGAAGAATATGGGTACAACCAGCGTTGTGTTTGATCTAGTGTTATCTGTTTTGTTGTGGTTTCTTGTGAAAGGGTCGACTTTGTCGATATGAAGTTATATATCTTGTGATAATCATTAACCCCTTGTTTGGTCATCATATGAGAGCTTGTGACTTTGGTCACCTCCGCGGGGATTTACCGCCGTGTTGTTAAGGCATGAGCGGTGTCGAAAAACAACACGGCAGAATTTCGCAAAACGGGCAATTTCATTTAACATGGGAAAAAAATTATTGGTCTGTTCGATCTAATTTGTTTTCTTGAGGAATTCCATACATAAATCATTAAAAAAAATAACTATAATTTTCTAGACACTTGAATTAATGAACTCAAATTTTTTAGGATGATTCTGCTTAGTCAGTCAATGGGAAGATAACAAGAACGACATTCTGCGGTGTTTCCTTCCTATAGTGACCAAACTAGGGTTAAAAGTAACTATTACATAGAGAAAAAAAATGGTTTAGCTTTAGAAACTAGTTTCTAGATTTTAACTCCAATTTTTAAGCTTTATCCTTGGTACGATCATGAAAACTAACCAATTTGGGGATTGTTTTGAGGAACAAATATTTTCTAAAACCAATGCTGAATTTTTCTCAATTTTAGAAAATTTTCAAATTGAACTAAAAAATTGCGGCCGAGGTATTTAACCCTAGTCTGGTCACCTGACGGGAAAATGCGACTTTAGTCACCTTCACGGGAGAGTGCCACCGTGTTATTTAGGCTCCAGCGTTGCCGAATCTACTCTACACTTCCCGGGCGCGTTTAGCGAGTTCCCAGCAACGTCGCGCAACAGGCAATTTCATTTAACACGGGAAAAAATTGTTCACCTGTTGGAAATAATTTTTTTTCTCCCAGAATTAAGGATACAATATTGAAAACGAAATACTAGAATTTTCCAGATACTTCAATTGACGAATTCAATTTTTCTCAAATTTTTCCGGTCAACCAGTCGATGGCAAGGTGAATAAAACGACGTGTTGCGGCAATTCCCTCGCATGANTCTCTGAAACTAAGCAATATAGCAGATTTTTACTGAAAATTCAGGAGGGGGAGGGGAGAATTGTACATCGAGAATTAATAATAAAATAAGTTTAACAATACAACTTCCCTCCCCCCTCCTCCTCAAATTTTCAGCAAAAATTCGCTATCTCTCTTAGTTTCGGTGATATTTTTGAAAAACTCACTGACTCAACTTTTTTTTGTTCTGAATTCTCAATTCACAATTCCCCCCTCCCCCTCCTTGTCAAATCATCCCTCAATAATTAAAGAAATTGTCTAGATTTCGGAAAATATTTTTTCTAGAATTAAGTATATTTTGATTTAAAATTAATCCCCGTTTTGATCATTAATTTTAACCGATTTTTTTCGGGGCAATTTGTAAATTTTTTTCCAACCTTTTTGCTCTGTGTAACCCTCGAACACTCGTATTTGGCCGCTAGCATCCATCGCACGGTTAGCGCTGCGCCGTAGGGGTAAACCGAGCGCGCTGTTGCCACATTGGCGCTTATACACAGTACGGGAGCTGGTGCATGTACCGTCCACCTAAGGAAAGTCGTTTTTTCTCGCTCCGCTCTCTACAAGCAGTCATAAACGGTTAAAATGGGTTCTTTGAGGTTTTTACGGGAAGATGTGAAGAGGACAGATTTTTTATTAACATTCAACATATTTAATGATGCCCTGCAATTGCCATCGGCCAATAAGTGATGGAATCGAATGTTGAGGGTAATACCGCCCAACATGCGTCCAATACTGCCCACCTTGTGTTGATGACTTTTGAACAATGCAGACCAACTGTTATAATTTTTCCTATTTTCATCCTTCATTCTATACTTTGGCTCCATTTTGAAAAAGATTTCACGTGACTAATAATAAATTATCCTGAATTTATCCGGTGTTCCAGTGGCCACCCCCCACTAACCCCAACAATCGAGCTGTCACTTGACCGCCTTCGAACTGCAGAATCTAGCAGCCGTATAGAAACCCTGGGCGGCATTACCCACAAATGCGGAGGCCGATTAACTAGCCAATAATAACTGATGAAGATATTTTTCTGCTATCGCAAAGGTCGCAATGGATATAGAAATGTATAACGAACACATATTTCGCACTCCATTCAATTATGGGTCAACTGAAAATTTGAAAAATCTTAAATTCTAGGGTCGAAATATTTTAAGAATTCGATAGGAAATGATTTGGATTTTTTTAAACAATGTTTCTACTGGAGAAAATTGAAAATTTCTGCTGGAATTACTTGTTATTATGAAACATTTGCGTACTAAAAAGGAAAAAAAATCTCAGCCAATTCTGAGGAATACGGGTGGGCTGTATTATTCGCTGAACGGTACAGGCACACCCTCCCCTATAGAGAAGCTGATGCCTGTACCGCTCACCCGATTTTGTCCACAACCATCAACTTGAAAATTTTTTTCTGTTTCTGATCATGAAGAATTTGATGATACGATGTGATTGTCGGAAAAATTTCACTTTATTTACCACTTTAAATATGAAAAAACACATAACGAAGTTTTGAGGTCTTTTATACAGTGTAAAATTTGTGGACTTGTAATTAAGGTTTTTGATAGTTTCAAACGCTGAATTCTCATATTAAACTGTGGTTATTCGATTCGTGGTACTTTCACGCGTAATTTGAGAGCAATTCGAACTCCAAACTCCACTCATGTCAATAATTATCAACAATTTTGTTGACGCCGAGTGGAGCTGGTAATACCGCTCATAAGATCGGCCACGTAGTTGCTCGACAGCACTCGAGTACAGGTTAGGTTGCAGCGTGAGCGATACACGCAAAGTCCTATGAGCGGCATTGGAATCGTGCTGAGCGGTATTATCCGACGGCGGGTAGTACCGCTCAATAGGCGCTGTCTTTTATTTTCAATGAATTTTGTGGATTCTAAGGAGAATTAGGCGTCTACACTTCGAGAATAACGAGTTCAATAGTTAAAGAAGTCTCACAAGTACGTTTTTTATACTAATNTGAGCAATACACGCAAAGTCCTATGAGCGGCATTGGAATCGTGCTGAGCGGTATTATCCGACGGCGGGTAGTACCGCTCAATAGGCGCTGTCTTTTATTTTCAATGAATTTTGTGGATTCTAAGGAGAATTAGGCGTCTACACTTCGAGAATAACGAGTTCAATAGTTAAAGAAGTCTCACAAGTACGTTTTTTATACTAATGTTGAAATATAAAATAGAAAACTGGAATTTCCCCTTAGGTGGGCGGTACAGGCACACCCTCCCCTACAGCGTGAAACAACCGGCAGTGAAATCACCAAAAACCCAAGTTGTCACATACACATACGCATAACCCTTAAAACATCATTTTTTCACGTTTCATAACATTTTCGGTCATTTGCAATCAAAATTAGAAAATCGAAAAATCGGTCAAACACGAGGCTTTCATTCGAAAGCAAAAACGAAAACGAGCGGCGCGGCGCTCATTGAGAGAGCGATCGAGGGTTAACATAAAAAAATATACTCTAAAAATATTAATAACATTCCCTATATTTAAAGCCCAAAGTGATCCTGATAGAGTGACAAATCACGGCGCTAGGGAAAATGAGGAAGAAAATTGAACACTGTCTTAAATGGGAGTTGTGGAGACAAAAACGTGAATATTTCGAAACCTGGAATCGACAAAATGAGTTCTTTTCATTTGGACGTCCACATTTATTTCATTGGAATGGAAGTAGTTTGCGATTGCCAATAGGGAAAATATCAATGAGATAAGCAATATGATGGGTATGGATATAATATTTGCGAATATAATGGTGTGATTTGGTAGTTTTTTCCAAATTATAATTTTTGTGGTTAGGCATTTACTAAAGCGTTATTAACGCTTTATTGTTATCTTTTTTAATCATTTTCCTGAAGTTTTTTAAGGTTCAACGAATAAAGTTCTTTAGACGTGGACCTTGAATGCGCTGAGTTTCAAAGGAAGGATCGAATGTTAAGAGTCAAGGGAGATAAATATAAAGTGTCTAACTTGAGGGTTAAATATTAAAAGCTCAACATTAATTTGACCTTCTATATGTGATTCATAATATTGGACTCTTTATATGTAACAAAGGATATTTACCTCTCAACTTTTCCTCTTTGATGCTTGTGTAAGGCTCTCAGAATTTCACTCGTAATATTTGGGATTATGAAAACAATCGCAAATTTCTTTTTTTTGTGAACTCGCTTACGCTTCGGTTATTACACAGTATCGAACTATTTTATATTCAAAGATAGTTTTCAATGGTGTTTTCCGATTTTAGTTCAAGAAGATAGCGCCAACTGCGTTTGAACTGTTACATAGCTTCCCTGGTGATCATGCCTTGACTACATCAGTAACTTGACTCGATATCATCATTAAAATATATGAATTGCCGTCTAATTCTTCTTTCATTGTTATTCATTATTTCTAGGTGATATGTTTCACACAGGAACTCCTGCACAAAGACCTTGTATTCACGGCTTATGGATTATTTCCGTTGAACAGCACGTTGTTCCAGTCGGTGAGCCAACTATAGATTAAAAATTGAAAATTTTATGGATTTCATTTTTCTCTTTTCAAATCGACAATTGACTGTTTTCCGGTGGGACTTTTTCATTTCAATTTCCTCTTCTTTCGCTACAATTAATCATCTTGCAGTAGCACAGGCGTGATGCATCCTATTTAAAAAAAAAAGATTTTTAGGTGTCTTTCAGAACAAATACGAAATTAATTGTTTTTTCAATGAATGAAGGAAGGAATATCGAATAAATTTCACTTTTACCCTCGTATTTTGATAGAAAGAATTCAAAAAAAGACAAGAAGGACCATAAACGTCGGAGACAAAACATTTTATCGGATTATAGTATTAGCATAACGTAATAATCGAAATACTACATTCTGGGGAAGGAGTACAGTAGGATCTAGCAATTCGGATACTTTCAACACCGCACGGCCTAGTTGTTTGCATAATTCCCCTCTTGCTTTCTTCATCCCCACTACTTCCTATAGTTCTCCGAAGCTCGGCCTAATATAATTTATCAAACATTAACATTATATTGTTAATTAATTATTAATAATATAATTTATTAAATCAAGTATTTACGTGTTCTACATTTATTGGAGTTCAGTATCACAATGAATTATGTAATAAACTTCATTAATAATTACGACGATTACAATAGGACTAAAATTAAAATTGACATAACAAAATATAATTCAGAAAAGCAATATTTTTTTATATCACATTTTAAGAAAAACCTCTTTACAGCATGGGAGCTAAAAGCGCTGCATGGCATCCCTCCCCCATCCACCCCCGATTACCGTCGGAATGACTCATCCTAAGAGTAACTTTAACAAATTTGACAGGTTAACTCTTCAAACAATCGGAATAAATTGAGTTTACGAGACATCATTAAAATATTTGTTGAAAATTTTCAGTTGCAGACAAGTTCATCATTGATATGTAGACAAGCTGGCCCCAACATGGGACAATAAAATCAATTATTAGAAAAAAGTTCTGCATTTCTAAAGGAAATAGTTCAATAGCTTCGGAGTTACCTGGCTTCGTTGGGACATTTCTCATTATTCAGTGCATAGACTTTGAAGCGAATTTGAAATACCAGATGCGTGCATTAGGCTGTGCACATATCTCAGAGTCAGGTGATTAATTACAGAAGGGATAAGAAGGCAGTCCTTAATATGAGAACATCTAAAGCGAAAATATATATGCAAACAGCTGGGTCCTATGCATTTTGCCAGTTTGCGAACTGCTAGGTACTACTAAAATCCTGATTTGAATGCCCTAGTAGAAATCCAGACAGGTATTACAAAGTAGTATACTGTGTTACCAATGCTTAAAGTTCGACTTTTTCGTACACCCACGTAACACATCCCATTTTTTTGTCATATCTATTGAACTCATTTTCTGGGATTGCAACGGGTGTAAAATGAATAAATGAAGCGTTAATAAATCAAGCATTTCCTTTTTTGCACAGAGTGCGTAAAATTCACGGTCGTGTGAAAGCAAATTACGAGGGCATAAAGCGAAGGTTTGTGTATAATAATTTACTGTACCTACTCTGTGTGCTCTGAACTTCGCACACATCGTGCAGAAAACAAATGTTTTGTGCCCACTAAGCCGCCCCGCGGAGTGAGCTTTTCTAGCAGGGATTATAAAATATTCCATTTTCTCTTATTTCGTCGTCATTTACAATATTCCAAGTTATACGCAGTAATAAATGGATTGGAATACGTTTTTTTTGCAGATATTTTCTTCTGCACTCACCTACTCAATCATTATTCTTCAAACGCAGGGGTCTGGTCGTGCAGTTGCAACTGGATCCAATAATCAAACCCATTGAAGATATTGCAGAATCGATTCATAGAAGTATTATAGATCATAATTGTGGAAATTATTGTGTATGTAATAAAAAGTTAAGGTGTCTATTATCATAAACTCTGGAATAAATTGCAATTGAGTATCGGTATAGATAACAATACACAAATAGATATTCCCAAGTATACGAGAAGAAAAAAAAAAAGACTTATCCAGTTCGCTAGCACATTGTCGTTTTGTGGCCAAAATTACTCAGGAGATCCCTAAAGCATCCAGGGCAGAAGAGTCAAACGTCCAATGTTGAATTAGTATCGGCAATCGAGCTTTTCAGCATTGGACGCCGGTCTTCAATCAGAATTGAAATACTCCACTGTAATACCAAAGGTAAAACGAGAGTGGCAAGCAAAGCATTTAGAAGGGTCAAATTTTTCTGACATCCCGTTGGTCTTTTACAATTTACCGACTTTTTACAATTTTTTGAATAACATTGTTTTGGAGCTCTACAGAAATTTGAAGTCCTACAGAAGCCCTGCAGAAATTTGCCTAAGTGGATATTCATTCACGCACACCCTGCCAAAAACAACCACTTTACGCACACTAAACCGTTTCGAAAAGTGCACTTTTCAGGCAGGTATCACAAAATAGTATATGTCGTAACGAGTGCAAAAAAGTGTTTTTTGGCGAGTGGGAGGTTTATATCACGAGCCGAAGGAGAGTCACGTCACGAGGGATTATATGACTCGCGAAAGTCCTATGAATGGCGAATATATGAATGGCGAAAGTCAAATCAAACGAGGCTCCTCAAATATACATTCGTTAACTATTAACGAATGAACATTTGGTGGGACCGAATAGACCCTAACCTCCAATCAAAATCCACTCGTTAACAATAACTAATCGGTTTTATCAGTGTAGAAAATTTCTCTCCGTGTAAACTCGGCAGGTATCACAAAAAATAGGATGTGTTACATGTGTGTGCGCTGAAGTGGAACTTTACGCACTACTAACATAATATACTATTTCATCATGCTGTGACGAAAAATGAACTTTTCGACACGCTCCGCGTGCCTAAAAGTCCAATTTCCGCCACATTGTGATGAAAAATATTGTTCGTACCTCGTGAAAAAATGTTTTTTAGCTCGTGGGATTATATCACGAGCCGAAGGCGAGTCACGTCACAAGGGATTATATCACGAGCCGAAGGCGAGTCATATAATCTCACGAGCTAAAAAACATTTTTTCACGAGTTACGAACAATATTTTTCATCACAATGTGGCGGAAATTGGACTTTTAGGCACGCGGAGCGTGTCGAAAAGTTCATTTTTCGTCACAGCATGATGAAATAGTATATTATGTTAGTAGTGTGTAAAGTTGCACTTCAGCGCACACACATGTAACACATCCTATTTTTTGTGATACCTGCCGAGTTTACACGGAGAGAAATTTTCTACACTGATAGAACCGATTAGTTATTGTTAACGAGTGGATTTTGATTGGAGGTTAGGGTCTATTTGGTCCCACCAAATGTTCATTCGTTAATAGTTAACGAATGTATATTTGAGGAGCCTTGTTTGATTTGACTTTCGCCATTCAAGTGAACCATTCGTTAACTATTAACGAATATTTATTTGGTCATATTCAACTCTACCATTCGTTAATAGTTAACGAATCTCGTTTGGAATAAATGAATCATTCTATCAGTGTAGAAAAATTCTAGTGCGAGTACTGGAAAAAATCGCAATCCGCCTCTTTTCCCGTGCTATGGCACTAGAATTTCTCTAAAAGACATTCCTCTCCGTGTACTTCAGAACGGTAGTGGGGGTAAAGTGATTGTTTGTGTGTACGAGTGCCTAAAGGTCAGGAGCGTGCGTAAAGGAAATATCGAGAGTGTAAAGTAAAGCTTCGCTTCACGCACTCGAAATTCACTCTACGCATGCTTGTGAACTCTACGCACGTCGTGCGGAAAACAATCACTTTAGGCATATTGAACCGTTTCGAAAAGTAAGCTTTTCAGGCAGATATCACAAAATAAATATTTAACGATAATGCTTGTATTAAAGATTCTGTAGTTCGTTCAGTGATGCTCTAATGTTGATTATAGATCTTTTAGATTTTTCCCATTGATCGTTGTCGATATGTTCGCTATGCGGCGCCGCGCTCACGGTGCGACCAACGGCGTTGGTAAGTCAAGGATAAGCCTTATCAGGTTATGACAAGCCTATCAGATAAGGATTCAAAATTACAGCTCACTATGTATTTCGGAAGTACTAGCCCTCTGAAATACACACAGAAAAACCTAAACGTAAATTCCGTTTTGTTAAATTCCATTAAATTACGTCAGTAAATTACGTAAATTACGCCAGTAAATTACGTTTTGCTTAACGTCAATATGATGTCTGATGGCTTTTTTTCTCATAAAAATCGGAACTTAGGCTTTAAAATAGTATATTTCTAACCTAGGGAGGGAAAATAAAGGATCCTCAGCCGCCAGTGCAATTACCAGCCCAGCCGAAGGCGAGGGTGGTAAGCATGCGGCTGAGGGTCCTTATTTTACTTCCCGTGGTTAGAACGCGATTTTCCGTCTCGGCGTAGGCGCAAAGTCAGAGTTTTCGCGGGAGGGAAATGTAACTTTGCGCCCACCGGGACGGAAAAGTGTATTTTACGTTTATCAAAACGTAAATTACGCCTAAACGAAGTGTGTTTTACGTTTATTAAAACGTAAATTACGCCTAAACGAAGCGTATTTTACGTTCAGCAAAACACAATTTACGTTTAACAAAACGTAAATTATGCCTACACTGGTAAAAAAATAATATATTGTGCATCAAGGACAGAAAGTCATGTTTTCCCGCCCGAGGTGCACATGCTATTTTTTAACACGCCTGCAAAGGAAAGCTCGTATTTTGCTCTTCGATGAGCGGGAAGAAAGTGAGTACTTTCCGTCCTCGGGCGGAAAGTCAAGATTTTCCGCCCTTGGGAGCAACTTTCCACCCGAGGGCGGGAAGTACTCACTTTCCTCCCGCTCATCAGGGAGCAAAGTACGAACTTTCCGTGCAGGTGTGTGAAAAAATAGATTCAGTAGTTGAAAAAAATTGCATTTTCTGTACACACAAGAATAGTATCTTATGTCATAAGGCGATAAAAGTATTATCTGGCGAATGTGAGTTTATCGCCGTGTGACATACGATATTTTAGCGAAGCGAGGTTAGAATCGCGGTTTATCGGGCCTAATGACATAAATGCCATTTCTAGCACTACTCCTTCGTTATTCGATACTCCCATATGTATTTTGCTTCCGAAAAATCTTTGATTTATGCGAAACGAAGGATAGTAGTTTTTCGTTTCGATTGTCTAATAATCACAGACAAAAAATGAATCATCAAATGAAACAATAAAAATGATATGATAGAAATCGTGTAACTTAGGGATAAAATATTTGTTGATAAATTTTTCTCCATGAGATAGTTCCATCCTAAAAAGGCACCGTCGGGTGTGAATTATCCACCTCTTGATCCAAATATTTTGTTGTCGTCGAAAGCAGAGCAATTATTCATGTTTGGGACTTTGAAATTCGAATCAAACAAATTCTTTTTTGGCAATTTTCAACTAGTAATTTTGTTGGCCCAAAACTTGTTTGACAACGTGTTTGTTTTTCTCTAAGTGTATGAACCCTCGAACCACGTGTTCTCCCGTGGGGAAAAGGGAATTTTCTAAATCACAGGAATAATGCCCATAACTACTGATGTATTTTCACTCTGTTACACGTAACTGCATAAAACACATAACTTGAAAAATTTTTGGTTTCAAGCCTTTCAAAAATTTTCTTTTGTATGATAAATCTCAAAACAATCTTCAAAACAGAGTCCCAGACCTCGCAGTAATAGACTGATGTCTTCTTTTTCCCAAGTTTTGTGAAACCCCCCGCCTCCCAACTCCTCCAAATTGCATCCAAATCTTATTCAATAATGCAATTACCTCACTCTCGTCAGAATCATCGCTACTGGGCTATTTACCATTCTTCTAATCACTTTCAGAATTTGTGTTTGGGAAATCTGTGTCTTCTAAAAGATTACGTATTTCAGAATCTGTGCAATTTCGTCGTGCCTTGTGTTTGCAACGCCCGCAAAACATGCAGATCGGAACAACTAAACGCAGGGCCTGTGTTTTGATATGTGACACTGTCGTCGTCGAGTAAGGCACACACGCACGCATGGCGCGTCCCCACTACGTGCAGCGGGCGAAGCGTTCTAGCCATTATTTATAACAATTGATATTTCAGAAACAAATTAGTTTAAAGAATTGGAATTTTACAGTTTTGATTGAAAAATAGCGAATAAACTGACCCTAGAATCGCCTTTGTGGACTGATTTTGGGAAAAAAAGATAGCATTATATCCATTTTTATGCGTAACAAATGTAAATATGGATAAAAATAACAAATTCATGCGGGCGCTGTTAAAGAACGAATTGAACTATATTGTAGAATTATTTCAGATTTTTTTATCAATATTTCCTCGATAAACGAGATCCTCGAAGTTCCGGAGCGACAGAGAATAAAATTTTTTTAATTGCGTAAAAATTAAGGAGTTGAACTCAAATTTAAAAAATTTTCAAGATTCCATATTGACGATCATTTATTCACCTTTATGATTCTTTTAACAGAATGAAAATATCTTCATAATTGATGCAGATAATGCAATGTTCTTGTCGCGGGGTAAGGATCTCTATAGTATACAGACCCCGGCCTGGGAAACAAGAGCGAGAGGGGCCCATATACATATTATGAACCCCATATTTGAGGGATTAATTCTTCTATTTTATAACATTTGACCACCAAGTGGATAGGCGTACATACACACATGGTCCTCAAACTTCGTATTTTTACGTTTCAGCCCATTTTATATCATTTCCAAGGAAAATTATGCTCAAGTAGTAATAGAAAACGTGCAACTGCAGTTGCTACGCGAGTAATTATAAAAGTAATTGTTCGGTGGCAGCACCATGCAGTACAAATGTAATATTCAGACTTATTTTCAACAATTATTTCAGTTTCAACGAAAAACGTCACAAGTTTTCGATCCTACAAGTAGTTATTATTTTAAAAACAATAAAGATTTTTCCTCCTTCTTTCCCGAAGAATTAGGACCAGGACCGTGCACTCTCCCCTCTCTACATCTTCTTTCGACTCCAGAAATGGAGAAGGGGAACTTCCTGTTTCACCATCCAGTGCGCGGATGTATTCGCAGTTCAGAAAGCTTCCGAGCGTCAAGAAAACTACAACGGATATTAAGCCTCTCTGTTTTCGAAGTTTCCCGCCCTGACTTCTTGTGTTTTTTTCCTTTTGATTTGAACAATTTATAGTGCAAGTACAGTAGCATAGTACACAGTGCTGGAGAATCAACCTGCTATAAAGTGATTTAAGCGTCTGAAGGAGACAGTGTTTCAAAAATAGTCAAGATGGTTCGTATTTTCATTGATATCGTCATTGATAAATTCAAGCCCACACTATTATAAATTTTTAAAGATATTTAAGAATTTTCGTCAAGTTACAGTGTCTTTTATTGAATCAAGTCACCGTCGCATTCAAATTTTAAGGAATTTTGGCATTGAATATTCACAATCTGATGAAAAAATAAATGAAAACTGTAAATTTCAGTCCAATTACGATATGAAAATTGATAGAAATCACAAGAATTCACGTAAGTTGAGGAATTCTTGTCTTTCTGCTGCTCAAAAATTTGGAATTCCATGCCCGGTAGAAATTGCGACTTGCAATCGGCTAGCTGCTAGGTTGCGATGTTAGACACAATCCAACAGCTAGGAAATAATAGCGCTATGGATGGTTTGCGCGGGAACTTTTCAGTTCCGTACGTTCAGATGTGCGCGTTCATTTTCCCGCGGAATAGCGCTGTGGATGGTTTGAGCGGGAACCTTTCAGTTCCGTACGTTTAGATGCGCGCCTGCAGTAGTAGGTCCCTACATTGCCGCGTAAACTTTTATATCGGTATATATCGTTTCGAATTAAGAATACAAAGTGTATAATCAATTGTCACTTTTATTCCGGTTCAAAATCTATACAAAAATCATTTAGATATTATACTGATAGAAAAATTTATTCCTTGATAGTAAATAAATTCGTCTAGCAGTATGTTGGGGATAAAAACTATATAACGCATGATCCAATCCTGGATTTTGAATGTCGAAAGTCTCCATCTTCATCCGAAGTATTCAGCATGTCTTCAAATGCGTTTGAAGATTGCGCGCTACCTGGAGCATCCGAATCCCTTTCTCTATGATACAGCTCAAAATTTTCAATCTGCGTTATTGTTGGAATTTTGTGGTACATCTTCGTCTGCCTGCCAACATCTTCGTCAGACATCCCCTATAATTGATGTAATTCGTGATTCAACAAAAATTGCTTATACCTGTAATTTATTCGATAAATTGTATCTTGTGTTTTAATGGTTTTTGTAAGTAACTAAATTTTTGCAAAACTCTGTTGGTATCTTCGTAAAAATTCACTCATTACTGCGATACTTCATGTTTAAAAGAAAATTGACTTGCAAAAAAAATCAAAATATCTAATAGTATTCAAGCTAATGAACAAAATCCTATAATTAATCAGTAATAACAGAAATGCAATTAAATTATTAAAGATTCTGTTATTGTTCTACTATGATATTCCCCATAGGAATTCCTTGACATAAATTTTTTACGTTTATTTCACTTCATTTTTTTCTCATTAAAAAAATCAAACAAAAATTTCGAACATCTGGGCCAAAGAATTTCTATATAAAATATGTCAATACAATATGTTGTATTGAGAAGTCCAATTTGATTAGTTTCTCACGATTAAGTGTTTCATATTGAAAATTCATATTGAAAATTGATCGTTCACTGCACTGTTGCAACGCGCTGATATGTATATTTAGATACATAGGTTGGGTATGCAGGAGACACAGTAGCGACAGCCCAGCAGAATGACAAATGTAATTGTATTATTAATTAATGTAATCTGTCAAATGGCTTCTGTCGCGTGGGTTGTTTTTTCTCCCTGAATTAAGGTCGATGTTTTTTTTTGAAAATTACCACTGAATTATCCATAGAATTTCAACTTTTTTCCTGACACTTTTCTCACCCTTTGTTACTCTAGGGAAGAAAAAAGTCGCCACCAAAAGAACCATCGGGGGTGGTGTCCCCGCTCTACTGTCGGACGGATCTAACATCGGAGTCTGGTGAATTTCCGAATAATTCGAACTCATACTTAGCGGATCAAGTCCCACTTGAACTTGTGGACGTTAATACTCCTTCAGGGAGTGAATTTTCAGGAAGAAATTCAGCTGAATTTCGAAATCGGAAACATCCTGCGGAGTTTATACCTTCAGAGAGGCCCGAAAAACGTCTAAAAATCACCGGAACGTCGGCAGTTGTGAGCAATCAGAGTATTTTCCAAGAGTTTCCTCCGTCGACCTCGAGAGGATTCGATGGCATGCAAAAGAGATCCAGAACGTTATCAGAGGAATCCGTGGTGGAATTAATTCCCCAACCGATGCCTCTTTACATTCCGAAAGAGGAACCAATGTCATCAGATGAAGACTTTGATTTTGAAAACCCTGACGCTTTTCGGGAAATTTCACAGGGAAGAATGGAACTCACTGAAAGTGCCCCTCCGCACCACCAAATGTCTCCCACAAAAAAGTTCACGGACACGTCGAAATCTTTCAACTCCGTAAATTTTCATTCTTCTGGCCAAGAAAAGGATAACGGTGAAAAAGAAACTTCTGTAACCCTAGAAAAAACTCAAGGACACAGAACATTGATTTCAAGAAATGTAAGAGGTCCGGAAATTTTGGGATGCAGGGGGTCCCTTGAACCATCATATACAAGCGAGGGACAGTTTTCTTCTGCACCCGTAGTGAGGGAAGGGAATGCGGAGAAAAAAAATGTGCCAATGCAAGAAACAGACCCAGTACAGGGTCTGGAAAGTGTCATAAAAGAGGAAGTGATGTTATCGGAAGATTATTTTGAAGAGGGAGACGAAAACCCGGTAGATAACCAGACTGATGAAATAATATTGCTTCAGGAATTCTCGGAGTTGGACTCGTACCCTTCTCAGACGGTGAAATCAACAGAACAGTTCGAAACAAAAATAAATTTTCCTTCGAAACCTCAAACTCCTTACGTCAAAAATGGCGCAACTTTTTCCGAAATTGCTCCGAACACATCAGCACAGCTGAATAACTTGAATTATTTTCAGGCAGAAGAAAGAATGAATTGCAGCCCTAAAATACCTGTAATTCCACAACAAAGCCACGAAAACAGGAAGTCAGTTTTAGAAAATTTACCCAGTTGTTCGAAAAGTCGAGAGAGTGTCAACATAAGATCACTGCAGCCTCGGGAAATGCCACCCGCAATTGAGAGCCATTGTTCTCCCGAAAATTTGGTGAAGAACCTGAAAAGGGCTGAACAAGCAGGGACTACAAATGAATTCTATTTGGAAGAAATTTATTCAACGAAGAACTTCCAATTTGAATGGGGAGATCAAAGACCAAATTTTGATGGGAATAAATATAACCTTCGAGACGTTGTTCTACCTGACGATGAACGTTTTGAGTTATTTTTTGAAATCATCTGTTCGGTTTTCTCTATACCCATGAATTACGGGTATTTCAATGAAGAGGAGAGGAGCTTTGTGTTCAACATATTGACTTTAAGGAAGGAGGAACAGTATTTCCTGATGGTATTTCTTTTGAAGTCAGGAGGAGACTGGTTTTTCGCCAGAGAACAACATTATGACAAACTTTTCGATGTGAAAATCCACGAGGAGCTCTTCCCGCAAATGCTGGAGAAGGGATTTCTGGAGAGCGGTAAGTAAATGTTTTCTAAATGATTTTGTGAATAACTATGATAAGGACACGCAGAAAAAAGTTGGAGAATTACCGAAGAAGTCAACTAATCGTGGAGCAATTACGATTTTCAGAACTTTTTCACTCTATATCAGGCAAAAAATGCGAGATAAATAGTGAATTTTCCCCATTAGCTCGGAAAAATTTACTGAACGTGTGGGTAATTTGTGCCAAAACCGGAAAATTTGCCCTGTATTCTATCAAAAATTATGCCAATGAATGTCCATGATTGCTCAATATTGCGCATAATTTTTCTGTAACGGAGACTGGTTTTTTACCGAACGCGCTCGATAAAATTTTACTTGCATTCGTCCCCATGATCTTCAGATGGGTGCAAGAAAAAAAAATACTCTACCGATGTGGGAACTTTTACTGTATAGGAGGATAATTTTTACACTTATAGATGGATTTTTTTCGAATGAGAGCCTTGCATTCGACCGATTTTTCAATTTTCCAATTTTTATTGCAAATGGTCTAGAATGTTATGAAACGTGAAGAAATTCTGTTTTTAGGTTCATGTCTGTATGTAGGTGACAACTTGGATTTTTGGTGATTAATTTTTAGAAAATTCAACATAAATACGATGAAATTTATAGATAAAAATCTGAAAGTTCTTTTACACACGATAACTGGAGAACAAATGAATTATTATAGTTTTTACAGCATTGAAGGTTGGTTCATTCAGAAGCTTACTACGAATGGCGTTGGTAGAAATAAAGAAAAACTGATAACGCAAAAAGTAAGGTCACATGCCTTCTGTCGAATAGGCTCGAACCCGTGCGTGTTTTGCCAAGTAAATCATAAAATATCCTCCACAAACAGGTATTTTTTCATTGAATTATATTTCACTCCGCGATTACCTTTTGTACAGTAAAATTTGCCACGATTTTCTACGTAATTCTTATCCAACTTTTCTCTCCGTGGAGGGGCCCGGTGGAAATCATCGAGGGACTCTATCTGCAGAGCATTTTATTGGTGAAAATAGAGCGTCTCACAAGTTTCATCCAAATGCGTATGAAATGAATCCATAAAAAATTCTAGGACACTCGCGAGGAAACTTTGTCGAAAATACTATCAGTTTTTTACCGATTTCTTGTGAAAATTACATAACTTATCCGTGAGTTTTTTTCAATAGAAATTATTAATTAATATCATCATGAAATTGCAAGTGAGTTGATGAACTCATCCTTGTAGAATTTTTTGCTTTTATATGAGGAATACCAGTATCTACCTATTCCGAAAAATATCATCTGTTGATCAAAGAATACATGAATAATTGTTTAGCAATGAATAGTAGCATCCAAGAACAAGGATAATTGAATATCATAAATTCCGTTACCTGTATTTAGGAGAGTCGAAGGAAAAGTCGATAGTATAATCCTATCCTCCTATCGTAAAAAGGAGAAAGGAAATCGATCTCGAAATATCTGGAAAATCTCGAATAAGCGTAACGTAAGACTGAAACCGAAGCGTCACTACGTGAGGAGATGAGAAGGCGCGTGTGTAGCAGGCGCGGCCGATTTCGTAGAAATAAATTTAAGAACACGTGATAATTATGTTTTGACGTCGAGGTAATAATAATTTTGTTCGAGTTTTGAGACTGTCGTGGCTAACATTATTATTCATTGTTATGGCTTCCGGATGAATGCCGCGTCTACATTCAGGTTTTGCCAACGTTTCATAAACATCTCAGTCTGTATCATCAGGTCGAGGTTGCTCCGATATTATATCACCTAGCCCTAGTGATGCAGAGTGAAATGTTTGTGCAACGTCAGTAAAAAACGGAATCTAGACGCGGCATCCATCCGGAAGCCATAATAATGAATAATAATTTTGTTTATTCAAAAATATTTGGAATTAAAAATCAAATCGAAGTTATTAAGAGATTTCATATTTTAACACACATATACATTCGCACTCCCGTTATTTAGAAAGAGGATTCTCAGGTTGAAGAATTTTCGTAAAAATGAGAAATAACAAATTCGTTCAGTTGAATAATTGCAAGTCAATCACAAGAATGATTTGGTACTAATGAACTTAGCTATAAAAATGTCGAAAATAAAAATAAATCCATTCGCGATACAATCCACTCAAATTCCTAACCGAAATAAGACTTCCTGTTTGTCAGTAACAATTTCTGTATTCCCTGAAGCACCCCAAAGAGAGAGAGAGGCATTTCGATGGCATTAGCCTAAAATTTGCTGGGTTTGAGGATGACTGTCCATATGGAACAGATTTATACGGACACGCATCCGTATAACTAATTAGATCGCAAGAATTTCCCGCCAATTTTATTTGTTCAACTCTGATTGGTGTGCGCAGATGCGTCTCTGTGTGGACGGCGACCATGCCCCGTATGGACCCGAGAGCTTGTCCCATCGGCCGGCGTCCATATATCATCCGTGATTAATAAAAATTCATTATCATTCGCACTATTGGAGATAGCGAGAGCTCCGTGAAGTGGGCACCCCACTTGGTTGGATTTGAACCAAAATTTCATAATTGATAGATTTTGAGCTACTCGTGATAGTAGTAACGTTTTTCTTGTTTGTAGTTTGAAATTGAGCGTCCAATTCGTTTTTGAAATACAGTTAGGAACTATTCCATAGTTAGAGCTGGAGTGAGATTGGATTCTCGTCTGCAATCGTTTGTAGTTGATTGTAGTTCTGGAAATTTCACGATCGGAATCGCAATAAACGTTCAATCGATTTTTTTTAACAGTTAGGAACTATTTCATAGTTGTATTTGAGATTACGTGGGATTCTTATCTGCAATCGTTTGTAGTTGATTGTAGTTTTGGAATTTTCGCAATCGGAAATCAAATGAGCGTCCAATCGATTTTTGGAGACCAAGTAGGAACTGATTGAAAGCTATTGCCAGAATGAGCTCGGATTCCTGTCTAAAATCGTTTGTAGTTGTTTGTAGTGCTCACAAATTTTCAATGCACCGAGAAAACGGGGTGGCAGACAGTTGATATATGTAGAACGATTTGTTTGTAGTTGTTTCTAACAGTGAAAAAAATGAAGAACCTTATAAACCAACGTTCATACTTGATTGTAGTTTTGGAATTTTCCCAATCCGAACTCAAATGAGCATCTGATCGATTTTAGGAGCCCAAGTAGGAACTTGGTAACAGCTATAGCCAAAATGAGCTCGGATTCCTGTCTAAAATGGTTTGTAGTTGTTTGTAGTACTCCCAGATTTTCAATGCACCGAGAAAAAAGGGTGGTGTAGCATTGAGATACGTGGAAGAATTCGTTTGTAGGTGTTTCTAACAGTGAAAAAAATCAAAAAGAAAAGAAGATCTTTATGAACCAACGTTCATACTCAATTGTAGTTTTGAAATTTTTCCAATCCAAACTCAAACGAGCATCCAATCGATTTTTGGAACCCAAGTAGGAATTTGTTGACAGCTATAGCCAAAATGAGCTCGGATTCCTGTCTAAAATGGTTTGTAGTCGTTTGTAGTACTCACATATTTTCAATGCACCGAGAAAAAAGGGTGGTGTAGAATTCAGATATGTAGAAGAATTCGTTTGTAGGTATTTCTCACAGTGAAAAAAAATCAATAAGAAAAGAAGATCTTTATGAACCAACGTTCATACTTGATTACTAATTAATTGTAGTTTTGGAATTTTTCCAATCCGAACTGAAATGAGCGTTCAATCCGTTTTTGAAATAGAGTTAGGAACTATTTCATAGTTACAGTTGGAATGACATTGGCTTCTCTGCAATCGTTTGTAGTTGATTGTAGTTCTGGGAATTTTACGATCGGAATCGCAATAAACGTTCAATCGGTTTTTTTTGAACAGTTAGGAACTATTTCATAGTTGTATTTGACATGACGTGGGATTCTTAACTGCAATCGTTTGTAGTTGATTGTAGTTTTGGAATTTTCGCAATTGGAAATCAAATGAGCGTCCAATTGATTTTTGAAGACCAAGTAG